ATTCTTCTCGCAATCAAAAAGTATACAAAATCGTCGAAGTGGGCTGGCCTTTGTTATCGAGAGTTGTGTTTACTTCGCTGTTAAGGGGAGATGCGGGTCGAAAAATGCGAGTTTTTTTCAAAATTACGGATTTTTTATTTTCGCCTGTTTTGACAAGATTAGTACCTCCAATGTTATGAAAAAAAAAATAATAAAGGTCGAGACTTAACTGGAAATGCTTTAAAATTTCCTCTAAAGAGCCCAAAGTGCCTGTTAAAAGGTCGAAAGTGTGCAGTCTTAAAGCATCTTGCCGCCGATAATGCGCCGTTCGTAGCCATTGTTGATCTCATGAGTCGAGTCGAGCCTCACTCTTCAAATAACAACAGTTTCTCTCGCTGATGCAGCACAAGAAATACAAAGAATCACTCTTCTGCACGTTTTCCGAGCGCCGCGACTGGCTTATCACATGGTACGAATCGGGGACCGCCATTGGCCGCTGCGAGCCTGTATGTGCTGTGAAACCTATTTGCGGGGTCCACATCTTGTCGAGCAGCGCAGCTGAACAATGCTTTTCTCGTGCAATTATTTCCCTTATGAATGAAAAAAGGCATTGCTCGCAAGTGAAAGCCGTTGTGCGGCGCGCTCTGTAGAAATAGGCTACGAGCAGCTGGTCCGATTCGAGCAGTTGCTGGCTTGCAAAAGCCAATGCGTCAAAGTCATTCACACCCATCAGCTGGAAAGTTCGTGATGCAACAATGAATGACGTCAGCGCCAATCTTGAGAGGTCAAAAGAGCTCGCAGTGAGAGAACTTAGCAGGGACGACATTGTCATTATGTACGACGGTATGTGGCACAAACATGGCTGCAAAACGGCATGACACTGGATTTAGTTTGGATTTCGCAGTCCTGTCGAACTTCTTCCTAGCTTGCAGTTGGCACAAGGCTCTGCCAGATGGAGCGGAAGTTCGGCAAGCGTTTCATGGCCCTGTCTGTGAGCGAAATGTCTGTGAAGAGTCGGCTTGAAAACGCCGAGAGGGACAAACTCATGGTGCTGGCGTATTTTAGTCGCAGTGGCCACTACAAGAAGGATTGTTCTTTTTGGTGTGCAAGTTTCATCTGATTTAATAATATCTTTCATAAATAAAAACTCAATTTGAACTCTAAAACTCGTTTTTCTCAAAACACAAATTTTGCAATTTTTTCCCAATGTGCCCCTCATTTTTCGGGCACTTCTAGTGCTCGGATCTGCATGAAATTTTGCCCAAATTTTTTCTAAAGTATGAAATGCAATTATCTAGTATAAATTTCAATATTTTATTGTATAATAAAAAATTGCATGTATACTTTTACTAGGGTAGGTGAAATATGGACTTTTTACGTCTATTATTTTTCACGCGTATTACATATTTTGTATGTGCATCTTAATTAGTCAGTTGCACTCTAGACTTTATTTGAAGCATTATGAACTATGAATGGTAAAAAAATTTCAGAATTTTAGGGATGAAAAGAGGGGGGGGGGCAAAAGGTTTAAGGTTTTCACTTTGTCATGTTGCAGAGCTAAAAGTGTGTAACTTGGAAGAAAACTAATTGTATATTTGAAATCAGCATAAAAAGTTCTATAAACAGCTCAAGTTTCATTGCTCCAGGGTGAATATTAAAGAAAAAGTGTCTTCGAGTAGCATCTCCCCATAAGAATTCATCTGTTGAGAGAATGAAATGATTCGGAGCCTCTGCTCATCTGTTGAGAGAATGAAATGATTCGGAGCCTCTGCCTTTCGTTTCGTTCTTGATTACACGGCCCTACACTCTCTTTACTACAATCATTACAGGCTCTTCGACATGTCTTCATAAAGCATGTGTGCAATATGAGCGCTAATCGTTAAGCCTATCAGGATTTCGAACTTCTCGACTACACTCTTGTCATTTCCACTTGAGCAATTGGAAACTCGCAAAGTGCATGTGGAATCAGAAGTTCATCACGCGTGATAACCATGCAAGACGCGAGGAAGAATGGGGGTGGCGAATGCATGGCAAAGCAGGGTAGAAAACAATTTCATAATTCTTCTAAATGGACCATTCTAAAGTACGTGCCTTAATCGTGTCACGTGAATCGCTGTTCTGGCGTCAAGAGACAAAAGAACGATAATCGCCAAGAGAGAATAGCACGCTCATCTGCATCTTCAGAAGCTGTTCAAGGGCCCTTACATAGACAGCGCATGTAAACACGGAAACAAGAGAGCAGTCACGACACCGCAAATGCCGCTCTCAGAAATCCTTAAGCGACAGAAAAGAAGGCGAGCGAAAACGGGCAGTAGCGCACAACTCTGCTCTGGCAACAACACAATGGCGCGTTGAGTGCAATGCAATGAACGTGATAGCAAGAAATTGTGATGTTTTACGAAGTAAGGCTCACAGCCAACTCTTTGCCTCTTTGGATCCCATATCGCAGAACTTCTACAGAATGCTGGTGTGTGCATAATACAGCCGCTCCAGGAAAAAGTGCACTTTTCACGCAGCCTATGCACGATGAAAGCACACTGACATACTTTTCAAGATAGCACGCGTGCCAGCGATCGCGACCGCCCTTAAAATCAAAGTTCATTGTTGCTACTCGAGCGACCCCCCCTCCCCCCTACTCCTCCCCGTTGCATTTTTTCATGCTCTTTCAAGACTGTGGTTTCCTTTCCGTTTGAGCATTCTACAGCAGTTCTAACACGCGGGGGATGTTACCGTATGCACCCTTTAGGCGATGAGCAGACTCATTTGATCTGTTTCAGCAGCGCTTGTGTGCTTTTACCCACTCGAAAAAGCAATAGTGCACGGGCAATGTTATCAATTTAGACTTGTTACGGAACATGGCTGCGAAGGCCAAAACCTGCAGAGAGTATCTATATAATTGATATCGAAATAACACTGTTTTTTTTTTACCTCTAAATAAATGTTTTGAGTTAGCTCTGCCTTCAGTCCCCCTTTTGTTCAATTTGTGCACTTTCTCACTTTTCGTACTGAACTTGTACATAACGAAATTCTCTTTATAACGAATTTTTCCAAAGTTTATCAATTTCATTATATCCAGGTTTATCTGTACATATCACGCTCGCATGAGTTCAGTGAACACATTCAAAGGGTGAATGTCATTCACTATGCTCGCATAGCAACAACAAAAATGACATTAACAACTAATGTCATTTGCAGCGAATTACATTTCAGGTGCCGTGTGACAGGGGTACAAAGAATCTAAGGAAAATTAAATGCCATACAGAATAAAAGAGCAACGGGTGTGTTTATATACATAAATTAGGGCCTCATTCGCACTCCATAATAACTAGCTTGTTTTCATATCCTTTACTGCAACACAGGCATATAGTGCAGTGAAGCACACAAGTTAAAGACAGCCATGCAGTTTTCCCCATATGCAATAATCCCCATACATAATACAGTAGACTCTCAGTAAACGGGAATCTGTTAAACGGAACCGCTGCTTAAATAGAAAAACTTCCTGTGATATGATTGGTTTCATACTTGAATGCTGCAACCCACTTCACCTCTCTGTAAACAGAACTCCTGCTAAGTGAAACACAATTTCTCGGTCCCTTCAGGTTCCGTTTGATGAGAGTCCACTGTACATCCAATTGGATTGTATCCCTATTTCAAAGATTGCAAGTTTGCTGCATCCACGCAGATCCATCACAGAAAGCTGATAAGATCATCTTGAAACCCCTTTCGTGAGATATTTCTCAAGGAATTTGAGAGTTTTCAAGGGGAAGAAATCCCACGACTTTAGGGGCCCTGAAAACATACTAGTATTAAATTTCCATGGTTTCACGGGTCTGTGCGCACTCCAAGTTACTAGATTACCAGCGAAAAACATGTTTTAGCGAAACTGCTATCCAACACCTGTCTCTAACAGCTAAGAAACTAGAAGCAGGAGGCAATTATAACCATACGAGTCTAAGGTTTACAGATTACTTGAGTGTGTACTTAGTAAAGAGATAATATAAGCTTATATTATGGATCAGTCACTTGACACAGTTTCTCCAGTAAATTTGCAACAATGCAGGATGGGTGCACTATTCCCTATGAACCAGAATCTTGCGCAACTTGTGCAGAGCGTCACTTTAAAACCGACAATTGCCGGGGGCTGTGCACTCGCTACCACAGCAAAGACTATTTTTCATGGGACAGTCCCAGCTGCATGTACTGCAGGTTTTTTTTGGTGACAAACCAGCTTTGAATAAATGTGAATGGATAACGATGAATGCAAGCCATGTTCCTTCATTGCGGTGCAAGCACTCCTTGGGGAAGCTGCTAAAATGGTGCAGGAGACAGTGGACTAAGGCACGAGTGAATGCGGGCAACCTCATGTTTGCACCTTTCATTAACTAGCAATGACTGGTTCCAGAAGCACTGTAGCTGTCCTGCCATGTTTGAATGTTGCTAAGCATCTTTTGTAGTAGCATTTCATGGCAGAATTACGCCATGGAAACAACCAGAAGCATCTTGAAGCATTCTGGTCAATAAATGCAAAAGAAAGGTGTACTACATGGCTAGCAATAATAGTCCAATAAAATGCAAACTGGTTTGAACCATCTTTGTTGGCATCTGGGGCTAATTGAACAACAAGGGCAATATATGGCAGAAATGTTTCACTGTAGTGCAGGCAGGCAGAATTACAGTATACTACTATTGAACAAAACCTCATGGAACCATGATAATGTCTTCCATTTAACAGAAGTTCTGTTTACTGAGAGATGAACAGGGGTGTGGAATTCAAGTAGAAAATCAATCATACCTGAGTAAGTTGTTCAAGTTAAGCAGAAGTTAGGTTTTGGAGATATCCGTTTTAGTATACTAAGAGTTGACTGTGCACATTTTGACAGTTTATTTAAGTGGCACTTGGGTGGTCACGATAAGGCACAGGCAAGCAGTATCACAGTAAAAAGCAAAAATGGTGCGGTTGGACCACCACTGTAAGTAGTAAGCTAAAGAACGAAACAATAAAGAAAACCGTCGACACTCACTAGACACAACCACTACTTCACCACCGCGAATAGGCGTTGACGCTTGTGGGACTGGATGGGCTTTTTCAGGTTCCAGTGACTCTGGCGATGTTGGGCGGTCCAAAGATTTAGGTGGTGTAACTTCTATGGCCTCTGATCTATTTCAAGGGGATAAATATACATTGTGAGCAGCTATCCCATTGATGGGCTTTTAGTGCATTGCATATGCTAGTTGAGGTAGAGGAAAAGTTCTACAGAGATATGTACAGAGGCCGAGACAACCAGGACGCTATCGAAAAAGCAGTTAGCCCAGAGAAATCTGACATCCCACCAGTAACCACAGTTGAAGTAAATAAAGCCCTAGAGGAAATGCAAAGAAGCAAAGCCGCTGGGGAAGATGAGCTAACATCAGACCTGTTGAAAAGTGGTGAAAAAATTGTGTTAGAAAAACTGGCCACCCTGTATACTAAATGTCTCTTGATGGGGAGAGTACCAGAAAGGGAGGATACAAAAAAAAAAAAAAAAAATGTGACCATAAACTTAATCCATAAAAGAAGGGGACGTCAAGAAGTTAAAAAATTACAGGCGGATCAGCTTACTGTCTATTGTCTACAAGTTATTCACAAAAATATTAGCAAATAAAATTAAGATGAAATTGAAAACTACGCATTATACCAGAAAAATAATCACACATTTGAAATGAGCACATATATACATAAACTCAGAAAGTTTAATCAAAATTGATGAAGAAATGGTCATTTTTTTCTAGTGCCACTTCCTCCCCCCTTGGGACACTAAAGCCAAATAACAATTTACATCAGAGTGAAAGCTCAATATATGACATGTAAACCGACAATATTATCAACAACAGTGCCCTACTCCCCGAGAAATTAAGATAAATACACAAGAATACAAGTGCCGTAGTAGCACATTCTCAAAATGATTCCGATGACGTCAGACGAACAGCCTATAATTAATCACTAGTAATTGATCTAGTTGCACTAAATGAAGAACCTTCCGTGGATCAAGAGACGCAATAAAATGCTGCTAGTTCGTTTCTGTTTGATTCATAGAAAAAAGAACCGCCGGATGTTACTATGAGGAATTGCATGAGTGGTTCAAAAAATTAATTTTCGCGTGGTTGAACTGGACAGGTCATGCCATATAGCAGGGCCCAGTTGAACCAAAACAAGTCTGCCATCTGGGAGCCAATGGCAAGAAATTTATCAATGCCGTTGTTGCTGCTGTGGCTCTCGCTGCTTTAGTTCTTCTGATACTAGTGTCGGCGGCTGCACAGTAAAGCCTGGCAACATTGTACATGGCAACAGTGACGCGAGATGCTCCACTTTTTGAGGCAGGTAATTTGAAGTGTGCTAACTCGATACGGACCACTAAAACGTGACTTTATTTCATAATAAACCCTTTTTTGGCACAAAAGTAACACTACGAGGTTTCTGGACCACTATTTCAACAATAAACATGGACTTTAAAGTTGCCTTTAGTGTCCCTTTAAGAAGGTCATGGACAAATTCATGCTTAGTGAATAAAACATACCATGCAAAATACAAACATTGCTATAAACAGCTCAGCTAAATCTTGCGGTTGTGCATGGCAAGCAGCATTTACGAACAGACAGCAAAGCTACCATTCTCTTAGGTGCCCTCTTTTCATAGAAAGGCCTGAGCTCCCTCTATTCAGAGCTGCCAGCGGCTGCTGTCTGAGGTCCAACACAGAAGATGCTATTGACTAATAGCCAAAGTACACCAAGACAGACATTTGCATCAGATATGCTTCTCGCCTTGGTAGGTAACCATGTGTCAATGCCGCACTCCGCAGTCTGTTAGCATTACATAGTAGCTCCATTAGCACCCCTAAGAACCACAATGGGAGAATGCAATGCACTTTATCACATGGGCTGTCATAACTTCTTTCCCCCAAGTCATTCCTCCCTGTGAAGCTTCGAGTGCTGCCGTTATAGCGCCTAAAGGGGCCCTGCAACACTTTTTCAAGTAATCATCCAATGGCTTTATGAAAAAAGCTTATTGCCCCATGAATCGAATGCTGCAAAATTTCTGGAATCCATCAAGTACAAGCAAGTAATCATCCAATGGCTTTATGAAAAAAGCTTATTGCCCCATGAATCGAATGCTGCAAAACTTTCTGGAATCCATTAAGTACAAGCATAGTTACAAAACTGTGGTGCACTGAAGTGCTTTCTCCATCCTTTCGTACCTGTGAGCCCGTTGAAATCAACGCAAGGAGGGGGTGACAAAAAGCCAACATGATGTGTGCTGATGATGACCTTAAACACTTTCTTTTATTTTTTTTTTCCCCTTTTAATGCAGGTTACATTCAATGTGATCACAAGCATGCACGGGGGCCTGTGGTGGCATTTTGCGGTGGCCACAGTAAATATAGAGCTCATGATGCTGAAATCAGCCAATGACAATGAAATTGGGTATATGGTACAGCAATTTGGGTATATGACATCCTTTACTGAGAAGAGGGAGCGATTTTTAGCTGACTGTGAGAATTAACTGTATTTTCCAGGCTGCATGCTGCCCTACAATTTTTGGCTCACATGTTCTTAGGAGACTTGATTACTGATCAGCAACATTCTTTATAGGCTCGTGCAAACAGAGAATTTCAGGTTTGAAGAAAACAGTATATGTTACATATTAAAAAGAAAAATTACATATTTGTCACAACCTAATTAACCTGCACAATATTTAAGAAAAATGAAACAAGGCCTAGGCAAAAGCTATTGTTTTTGGTTCAAAGGAAGTAAAAACAACTTTGATAGCAGCAGAATTTGACTTTTGGTAATGGGCAAGAAATAGTCTATTAAATATGTTTTATTTTAAAATTTACAAAACTTATAGCATGTAAGCTGGTATAATAAGCTTTTAAACTTAAAAAATGATGGATCGATGACAGGGTAAAGTGTTCATTCATTTAACCTTAAATGTGGCTTTGCGACAATGTGGACGTCCCCAAAAAAGGTGTTTTCACTGCTTAGCACCCTTCCATCGCAGTGAAACCACCTTTACAATAAATTGCATGCAAACACTGCTATTAATACACCTATTTGTTAATTTCGAATAGTACTTCAAAATTTTTAATAAATTACATTGGAATCGAAGCAAACTCCCATACTGTAACATTATTTGAACATTCGAAACATGCGAATATTCGCCCAAGCCGAGTTTTTTTTACCATGCTGAAGAAGCGTTGCGGAGCGGAGATTTCATAAAAGTATGGGACTACTGCCTGTAACTTTGGTCACTCGTGACAGATTTGAGACATTTTCCATGCAGTGGATACGTGAGGCAATAAACTCTGACAAAGAGGCAATTTGATGATTATATCAAAAAGTGGTTCATAATTTGTCATTTATAAGTGAATTTTGATTTCAAGCAACGTTAGAAGCATTAAATTCAAAGCTTGCTCCTCTTTCCAGTGCTCAGACGATTTCCGGTGTGACTCCATGAATTTTTCTGCATTACACCAGTTCAAACCGAATCAAGTTACTCACTCATCTGAAGGCGATGGCTTTTCTGCATTAACTTGGGTAGGTTCATCTTGAGGCTTAGGAGGAGTCGTAGGCTGTGCCACTTGTGCTATTTCCTTTTCTACTTTTTCCAATACTGATTCCTTGTCAGGAGTTGCTTGGGGTGGAGGGCTTGGTGCAGTTCTGCCTTCCTTGTTTGCAGGTGGCGGAGGCAGTTCATCTTTGGCAACTTCTTCAGGTTTCACCTCAGCTACTAATAAAAAGCAATTAAATCAAACAATTGGCTTAACTGGGCCATCACCGTAAATGCTTTTAAAAGCAGCAACAAAAACACACTGATGAATTTTCACCGATAGCAATTAATGATCTATAAACAATGAGCTCATATAAAGCATTAACCCATAACAAATCATCTAAACACCTTGCTTGGGATGCCCAGCTCATGCCTGTTCGGATACATAGCAAAAAAGGAAAGGGGCCCACAAGACATGCCCCTTTCCACATCCTAGAAAATTTACATCCAAAACTACAACCTGTTATCAAACCCAACTAAAACTGACTTAATAAAAGCACTTTAACATTCTTCTGAAAAATTTGACCATTAGCATACCCTATTTTATGGGATAATTTTCAGACCACTGTTTTCAAAGCTTTTATAAAGCATGCTAATATTCACTTTGTATCTTTTGCTCGTGAGTCTTAATGTACCTTTCACTAAGCTTAGTAGTAAACATGCCTTTGAGATTATGACAAATGGAAGTCAGAAATGAGGACGAAATTTTGATGGGCTATTTGATTTGGTATGCTAGGGCTGTAGCACAAGGAAGACATGGACACTAGAACAAGAAAAATGGATGAAAGTGCTGAACTAACCACTACTTTTTTTATCACCAATGAACAGACATCTTTATACAAACTAATAATGAACAATCAGAGCCGAAAAGACGTGATGGTATCTCTCAATTATCATGGTTAATCACAAGTCGTAGTCAGATCCAGTCTTAGAGAAATCCAGCAGAAAAGAAGCTCTCTGTTCAATAGCGCATGCGAAAGAGTGTCAGCACCTTTCAAAATGAATATTTATTCCGCTTCTAAGATTTCACACATCACTCTATCACGGCCATTACTCTCAATGGTTGTTTCACCAAAATGAGACAAGCAGCCACAGCCCCTACAGTGGAAAGCTATATGCTCTGAAAGAGTGCTTTCTAAGTTGTACTTTTGCTCTCACATTTGCACATAGGCAACTGCCCATTCATCTCGTGTACACTTTTTGGGAAGACATTGGGATAGCATATAAAGTAAAACCTTATTATCACATACCTCTTTTAAATGCATTGGCGGTTAATGTGTAGCTGTGACAAATCCACAACTGAGTCTCTAAACCTACTGGCTAATGTGTACCACAATCACTCTGTCATACAAAGGATAACCGATTTCACAATGTGGCGCAAAATGTCTTCTGCCTTTTTTGCAAGCCCAGAAAACGGTCGATAGATGATTCTGGTGATGCTGTTACAGATAAGCATTGGAAAAGAAAAGCCTGATGATGGTCACTCACATCCACCGGTTTGACTCATCACCTACAAACGTATATGGCAACAAAACATGCAGACATAGAAAGACATAAGATAAGTAAGAAGGCTGATTTGATTGATATGTGGGGTTTAAAGTCCCAAAACCACCATATGATTATGTGAGATGCCGTAGTAGAGGCTCCGAAAATTTTGACCACCTGGGGTTCATTAACGTGCACCCAAATCTGAGCACACGGGCCTACAACATTTCCACCTCCATCAGCAATGCAATCGTCGCAGCTGAGATTCTATACCGCGACCTGCGGGTTAGCAGCCGAGCACCTTAGCCACTAGACTACCGTGGCGGGGCTAAGTAAGAGGGCTGGTCCTCAGCCACTACTACTACTACTATATAATGTTGCGGGAAAAAGGCGTCGGAGAAATATGCTTACTATCGATTTAACAAGCAGGCCTACAAGATAGAACCCAGTCTGCACGAGCTCGCTCTAAACTTAGTCCACTTTCCGATAATGTTCATTTGTGGCACCCCTTAGCATCACCCCTGGCGGCGAAGGCACCGTTTCGGTGCTTGGTTGGTCTGAGTAATATCGCTTTAGCCGAGTGACGTGAAAAATGTCACAACACGATCGAGCGCTGGTGGCATTAAGAGGTTCGATTTCATATGTCACGCCGGTGACTTGGCGCACCACACGGTACGGACCCAATACGGCGAAGTCAGCTTTTCGCACAGGCCAACTCGCAGTGACGGTGTCCAGAGAAGGATTGTGTGACCTTGACTGAAGTGGACATCACGATGGCATGCATTGTAGACCAGTCGTTGTCGTTCTTGCGAATCGCTCAGGCGCAGGCGAGCAATCTCACGTGCCTCTAGAGCTCTAGAGATCACATCGCGGGCATATTTTGACGTGTGGCTAACAGCAAGAAGGAGCGTGACAAAAGGCAACATAGGTTCTCGTCCGTACAGGAAGAAAAATGGTGAAAAACCTGCAGTATCATGCCGGGACGTATTATAGGCAAATGTTGCAAATGCGAGGGTGGAGTCCCAGTCACGATGGTCGGAAGAAACGTACATAGCGAGCATGTCCGGAAGAAACGTACATAGCGAGATGGTTCTGTTTAGCTGCTCCGTGAGCCTGTTGGTTTTAGTATGATATGCCGTTGTGAAATTGTGCTTTGTAGCGCAAGAGTGTAATATGTCTTGGATAACTTTCTTGTTGGATAACTCTCTTTGTGGTTTGCTTATTTTATGTAAACCTGAAACTGATGTAATTTTGATGCATTTTTTTTATTTCCTAATTTCTTGAATTTTTGAAAATCGACGTCAAATTGTTTTTTCAAGTTTTGTGCTGCGGATTTTTGTAATGGCAAGTAAAAAGGGGTAGGAGCCTCGTCAAGCTGCTAACATAGCAGCTTTTTGCTCTTATCCTTGCGTTTTCTTTTTCGCAACTCTGTGAAGAAAATGCTCAATAAAACTGAAACTGAAACTTGTGATGAAAAGTTACGACCCCGATTGGTAAGCAGTTGCCGAGGAGCACCGTGGTGTAGTATGACGTCTTCCAGGAGAAAGTCAGCGACGTTGGTCGCACAACTGGTAGGAAGGGCCCGCGTGATGGCATACCGAGTGGTGTAATCTGTAGCGACTGCTATCCACTTGTTTCCACTGGCCGATAAAGGGAACGGTCCTAGTAAGTCGACACTTATCCTATAAAATGGTTCGGATGGGATCTGAATGGGCTGTAGACGTCCCGCTGGAAGGGTTGCTGGTTTTTTGCGGTGTTGACAGGATTTGCATGAGGCGACGTAGCGGCAGACGGATCGGTAAATACCAGGCCAAAAGAAGCGACGTCGAACGCGGTCTTGAAACTCCCAGATGACCAGCTGTCGGAATATCCTGCAACTGTGCGAGGACAGTCCGACGCATATGTTGTGGTATGACCAACAGCAGCTCAGGTCCGTCAGGATACATGCTGTAGCGATATAATACGCCATCTTGGAGCAGGAACATACGGAGAGACGGAGGAGTTGTGGGACCACCGAGCCGAAGGATTATATCTCTGAGGTGAGGATCACGACGTTGCTGATCTCCGATGTTGCTAAACGCGAAAAGTGCCAAAATGCAAGTAGACTCATCGCTCTCAGAAAGTTCTGCTGGGTCTACTGGATGACGCGACAAGCAATCAACATCCTCATGGTGGCGACCTGATTTATAGACAACCGTGTAGGAATATTCCTGTAGCCGTAGAGCCCACCGGCCGAGACGTCCGTCTGGATCTTTTAAGGACGACAACCAGCATAAGGCGTGGTGATCAGTGACAACCGTGAACGGGCGTCCACACAAGTACGGCCGAAATTTAGCCACTGCCCAGACGAGTGCGAGGCATTCGCGTTCTGTGATGGAGTAATTTCGCTCTGCTGGCGATAAAAGATGGCTAGTGTATGCAATAACGCGCTTGCAGCCATGCTGTCGTGCCAAAACGGCTCCGATTCTGTGGCCGCTGGCGTCGGTACGCACTTCCATTGGAGCGCATATATCAAAGTGACCGAGAATCGGTGGCGTCGTAAGTCTAGTCGTCAGTTCAACGAATGCTCTGGCTTGTTCAGGTCCCCACATAAAAGTCACATTTTTTTACTAGTTCCGTGAGCGGGCGTGCGACGTCAGCGAAATTCCGCACAAATCTACCAAAGTAAGAACAAAGGCTCACAAAGCTTCGGACGTCGTTTGAAGAGGTTGGCACAGGGAAATCCTTGACGGCGCAGACTTTCTCAGGATCGGGACGAACATCAGAAGAATCGAAAAGGTGTCCAAGGACAGTAAGCTGCCGGCGGCCGAAGTGAGATTACGACGAGTTTAGTTGGAGCCCTGCTTTGCGGAAAACCTAAAGAATTGTTGAGAGATGCTCGAGGTGAGTTTCGAAAGTTGGCGAAAAAACAATGACGTCGTCAAAGTAGCATAAGCAGATTGACCACTTGAAACCATGAAGAAGAGCGTCCATTGTTCGTTTGAATGTAGCCGGGGCATTGCATAAACCGAACGGCATTACTTTGAACTGATATAGCCCGCCGGGAGTTATAAATGCTGTCTTTTCACGGTCCAGATCATCAGCTGATGTCTGCCAGTACCTGGAACAAAGGTCGATGGAAGAGAAATAATTTGCTCCACTAAGGCAGTCAAGAGCCTCATCCATCCGTGGCAGAAGATAAACGTCTTTTTTTTGTAACTTTGTTAAAATTTCTGTAGTCGACACAGAAGCGCCAGCTGTTATCCTTCTTTCTCACAAGCATAACGGGCGAAGCCCAAGGACTTGAAGAAGGTTCAATGATGTCTCGGGCAAGCATCTTGTCGACTTCTTGCTGGATCACATGGCGCTCAGTGGAGGAAACCCGATAGGGTCGCCGGTAAACTGGATTTGCATCGCCGGTGTTGATCCGATGCTTTACGAAGGTCGTTTGACTTAGGGGTCGGTCGCAGAGAACAAAGACGTCTTGATACGACGCAAGAAGGCCACGAAGCGCAGACACATGCTCGGCCGGGAGATCAGAGGCAATCATTTTAGCTATGCAGTCTAGTGTACAGCCCGACTGAATACTGGCAGATGACGGTGTATCCTCTGTTAAGGCGGATATGTGGTAGTCGCTGGCCGGGGCAAGGGTTGCAAGCGATATTCCTCGTAGCAGCCCTTCAGAGCAAAGTCCAAAGTTCACAATAGGGAGACATGCCACATTGTCCTTCATTGTGATGATGGTGTTGGGGAACGCAATATTGAGCGAACACAAGACTGTAGGATTAGGTGAAATGACATAATCGCCGTCAGCCACAGGTGGATCAGAAGAGACGCCGATATACATCACAGCTCGACAAGATAGACGAACAAAGTCGGTGGAGCATAGCTTTGGTGGCGCAGGATCAGGAGGGTCAACGGCGTGTGGTAGGACGAGCTGAACAACACCAGCAGAACAGTCAATTAGGGCGGAATATTCCGACAGAAAATCGTGTCCCATAATGATGTCATGTGGGCAGTGGTCCAGTACGTAAAACAGAATGGTACGACGTCCAGCAACAGTGACACGGGCGGCACACATCCCGGTGACCACTGGTGTTGCACCATCGGCTACTCGGACAACAGTGATCGGAGAAGGAGTGAGCACTTTCTTGAGTCGAGCACAAAGGCTGGAATTCATGACTGATATGCGAGCGCCGATGTCAATGAGTGCTGCCACAGAAGTACCGTCAACATTTACTTTAATCAAGTTGCTGTGTTCGGATATCGTGTGCAGAGTAATTTCGGGTCGCGTCGTCAAAGCAGTTTTCAGCAGATCGGGTCGTCAGTTTTCTGAGGACTGGCGGTAGGAGGGTGAGGGGGAGCGACGTCGGTTAGTTGAGCGGGACATGTGCTCAGAGGGTGACGGGGAGCGGTTCGGTTGGGCGGTCCTGGATGGCGAAGCATCGTCTTGTTCAGCGTTGATCGGCATCCGAGAACCAGCAGGTGGGTGTCGGATGTTGGCATAATGCGACCATGGCTGCCAATCCCAGGAAGTGCAACGATGACATGAAATATGGCCAACTCGTCCACAGTGGAAGCAGATCGACCTGTCATCGGAAGTTCGCCATTTTGCCGAGTTCCGGTAATGTGGGCGGTTGTTCGGTTCGCAGGACATATTAGGTGTACTGGGCAGTCGGTAGTCAGGTCGTTAACGGGGCATAGCATCTGAAGTCTGGCGTTGGCCAGTTCCTGGCACATGACACTCTTGATCAAAGAAATCGTGGCGTGAGAGTCGTTGGGAGCCCGGACTTGGTCGGACAGGGGAGATGCAGCCTCGATTTCGTGGCGCACGATGTGCACGATATTGTCGGAAGCAGCAGGAGCTGAAGAGACAGGCGTCTTCACAAGTAGACGTGGCAGCCGTGTTAAGAAGACGCGAAAATTAGGGAGTAATACGACTTTTCGCTTCTTTAAAGCGTCAGCATTAGTTATTGACGTCGTCCACTGTCAAAGAGTTGCGAAACACAAGGAGAGTGAAGGCATCATCCGCGATTCTTTTGAAGATGTGCGTGACCTTTTCGGATTCCGGCATTTTGTCGTCAACTGTGCGGCAGGGTGAGCACATCCTGAATGTATGTCACGTATGACTCGGCCCAGGACTGCAGTCGGCACGCGAGTTTTTTCTGCACCGAACGACGGCGTCCAATGGGCTTGCCAAAGAGGTCGATTAGTTTGCGTTTGCAAATATCCCAACTCATGATTTCTTCCTCATGGCTGGAAAACCAAACTTTGGCCGAGCTCTCAAGGTAAAATAGAATATTGGCAAACATGAGCGTCGGGTCCCAGTTGTATAGTGCACTCACACGTTCGTATAGCTGAAATTATTTTTCGACATCCTTATCGTCGTAGCCGGAAAAGGTGCCTGGGTCATGTGGAGTCGTCAGAACGACGGTGCGGTTCGTGAGGGCTGGATGCGACGCTGTTCAATGCTGCGCGGTTTCACGAGGCACGCTTGGGGAAGGTATCGACGAATCCTTGTTTTCGTCGTGATCAGCCATCGTAGACGCAGCCAAGGAACGCCCGCTTCGTAGAATCGTCGTCGATGTTGATTCTGGGAGGACCCGCACTCTCCACCAAAATGTTACCGGGAGAAGGCGCCGGAGAAATATGCTTACTATCGATTTAACAAGCAGGCCTACAAGATAAAACCCAGTCTGCACGAGCTCGCCCTAAACATCGTCCTCTTTCCTATAATGTTCTTTGTGGCACCCCAATATATATATATACATATATATATATATATATATATATATATGGAAAATAGAGTACGATGCACGTTGATTTCGCACGGTATATTCTGACTGACGTTTCGGCTGGTGGACCAGCCTTTGTCAAAGGGCTGCCATTTCATAATAAGATCACGTGCTATGTGACACCAAGCCAGCAAGAAGAGTTTCACACTCGACGCCATGCAACAGGTGGCACTGACTGATGCTCCACATTTAGGACACATTGGTATACCCGATAAAGTGTACGGGGGGATAGCTGCCTTGGTAGCTCAGTTGGTAGAGCATCGGACGCATTATTCGAAGGTCACAGGCTCGGTCTTTGCCTACAGCAAGTTATATATTGTCCACTTTTCTTTCTTCACATTCACATTACAATTACTTCTAATAACAGCTCCTACACTTTCCCTGGCATAATCGTCTATTAGTTTTCATCAATATTGCACCCTATTGAAATGTGAGATAGCCCTATTGCCATAATCATTGCCTGGTGTTTGTTTTTCGCGTCGGGCTTCGCCCCACGGCTTTTGTTTTTGTTGGGCAGCTTTCCTTTACATGCGCGCTTGTTACTCGGTTATTTTCCAGCCTTTGGTTGGTGGTTGAACATTCAAGATAAGCTTTAGAAACCACACAAAGAGAATGCTACGACAGTGAAAAATGCGATAGGAGTGATCTATGGGATGAAGTCACCGATGATTACCCATGTATGCTTCACCGACGCTTGAACACTATGCACAGTGCAACGATGAAGCATGCATGTCAGCTTAACTGACAACTGATAAAAACTACACCATTTCTCATGATAAAAGAACAGTGACGAGAGCGCAGATGATATTGAAACAGCATATGTAAACCAACATGAAGAATCTCTTAACATCGGTGCTTCGCAGTGCGTAAGAGTGATGCGGATGCTTAAGAGTTTGTCTTTTGATTGATTGATTGATATGTGGGGTTTAACGTCCTAAAGCCACCATATGATTATGAGAGACGCCGTAGTGGAGGGCTCCGGAAATTTCGACCACCTGGGGTTCTTTAACGTGCACCCAAATCTGAGCACACGGGCCTACAACATTTCCGCCTCCATTGGAAATGCAGCCGCCGCAGCCGGGATTCGAACCCGCGACCTGCGGGTCAGCAGCCGAGTACCTTAGCCACTAGACCCCCGCGGCGGGGCAGTTTGTCTTTTAGCAGTCGATCTGGCCACATCAAGATAGATCGCGCTCTTCCTTAAATAAACGTGCACTGGCTCCGTAATATTTCATGTTTGTATTTTTTGGCGCTTATTAGAGCATAACGCAGTTGTGACTGTATACAGAGCATAGGTAGGTGATTCATGCAGTTGTGTTTATAATTTCTTCACAAATTTTTATTACTTTAACTAAAACATTTCAAAATAACAAATAATTTTTTGTAGTCCCTTGATATTCGTTATATCAAGATTTTACTGTATAATTCTTTTTCTCAAGTAGCAGAACTTGCTGTATTTACACAATTGTAAGTCAACTCGAATGATGGTCGCCCCTCTAAAATTGTGTGCCAGGGGAAAAATGACGAAAGAAACTGCTAGTGCATTCGAGAAGAAAAATTTATTTACGATGTTGGTGAAAAAAAAAAAAAAAAAAAACCTGAATTCAAGTATGCAAAAATGGCATCAGGGTAGTGCTTCGAAGCCATGTATAAAAGCTAGCCTTGCCGCAATATGCAGGGATCATTATTAAGTTTTCTATGAATCGCTGTTGAGGGTGTATGCTAAGCGTGAGAAAATACGACGTATATTACAGGCAGAGCTGGAACATAAACATACTGTTGTAACCACGCTAAAGCATGCCTGATTGCTCATTTTTTTCAGTTAAGGTTGTAAGTAGACTTTACAAACAAAACTAGTTTCTGTTTCGATAGTTACTTGACCCTACAACTTCGGATTTCAAATTTGAATAAAATGGGTTGACCTACAATCGTGCGACCAATTGAAAAACTTGACGCCATAACTGACCAATGGCTCGCTTTCCCAACTTGGTGTGTTTAACGTAGAGTATTTAAAGCTGATAAAGAGGTGGTTATTCGCTCAAGCTGATGTGTAGAGACAAAGTTGAGATTTTATCACATTAAAATAATGAGGCAGTACACCAACATAAAACTAAAGAACCATAGAAGCAACTTGCCTTTTGGTTCAGCTGGTTTGGCTTCTCTACTGGACTCTTCAATGGGTTCACTAAGATTGGAAATAGTCTCCCCTGTCGTGTCATTTTCTATGCTCAATGACTGCCGGTACTAAAAAAGGAGAAAAGGCATAGTGTCATGAGGTACTGAAAACAAAGGACCAACAGAAGCACACAAGCTATAACAAGAAAAAACATTATGATGTTGCAGATAACACTTCTCGGGCTGATGGGCCCTTATCTGCAGCACGCACAGTGGAAGCATGGCGAGAACGCGCATTGCCCATGTGTGGGACGAGCGTCAGTGTCCAAAAAAGCCACATGGGGCAGAAAAGTTGCTAGCCGTTAAAAAGGGAGATGAGACGAGCCCGGGGGTTTTGGGTGGCAGGCCAGCCACCCAAAATGGGATGAGATGTCTGTTCCACTAGGCGTGATGGGTTTTTCCTCTGTGCATGCTACGGAGCAGAGGCCATACCGGTTTGGGGCGTCCGCTAAGGAGAGTTGATGGCTTGTATTCTATGTCGAGTTACGTGTCAGTTTGCTTTCCTGCTGTTATGTTTCACGCTGGCTTTCCTGCCGCCATGTTTCGCGCCGTATGTTCCATTGACCACCAGTCTGCTGCGGGGACTGTTCGTGCCGGGTTATTGGTCCTCCTGTATGCGTTAGAGTCACGTCGTGCAGGTCTGGAAGGCTGGTTGCGATTCTTTTGAGTCGTGAATTAGAGGCGGTTCTTGTTCCCAGCATTGCTGGCTTGTGTCCTGTTAATTTTGGCTCACTGACCCCCCTGAATGGAGGGGACACCTCCATACTACAGTCACAACATTAATTTGATCCTAGCTAATTTGGGCAACTAAAAAATGACAAATGGCATTGTGTCATGAGGTATTGAAGACAAAGCTCCAACAGAAGCATACATGATATAACAAGCAAAAACATTATGATGTTGCAGTAAACACTACAGTAACAATATTAATTTGATCCTAGCTAGTTTGGAGACTGATAATTCTGACTACTCCTTTGGTTGTGGAAGCTTATGCATTATTGAATACCTTTAAACTTGTAATTTCATATGTGTTTAGCAACACAATATTTATATTCATTAATAGTGGGTGGCTCTACACTTGATAAAATAGAAGGTACTAAAGGGGGTAAGTCAATGTTAATTGAACAGTGCCTTTGGCTAACATATTTTCCAATTCAATTTGTATTTTTCTAGATTGTTTTAAGTTTTCATTTTTTCCTTTCACAGTGGAATTGTGGAATAATCTGGATGTTTCTCTCCGAAAGTTGCCTACCAATAGTTTTTTGAATGAACTACCAAACCATGTGTTTTGTTAGTTTAGTGTGTATTCACTGTTATGGACCCACTCCTGCAATGTCTCGAACAGTGAGACAGCAGTATTTGTAAATAAAATAAAAAAATAAATAAAATATCATCATTCCTACAAACCTGTTCTTGTGCGGGGTATTGGCAGGGATCGATGCTCTGCAATGTGTTCGCAACAATGTATATAAAAACACACTTTAATTGCATGAATGACAGCTAAATGCTCATGGCCTCTGGTTTCACTAGAGCAGTAAGTCATGAATTTACTTCATAATGATAATTTTATCCAAAAGAGAAGCTAGGGTGGCACCATCACTTGAAAAAAAGGACTGCATGAATAATTTTCGATTCCATTACAGGCACTCTCCATACGACCAAAACTTTTACACAAGACATAGTACCATAACGCGCTTGAGATCTCCCTAGCTGATTTTTGAAGCGCATTGAGCCACCAACACACAGCGCAGCAACGAGGCCTATACAGGGGTGGAAACAGGCTTTAGTCTTTTGGGGCAGCTCAGAAAGCAGGAATAAAGTAGTTTTTGAGCGGTAAAAGGGGAGTTTTGAAGCAGCTTCAGAGCACCAAAATGTGCGTTTTGGAGCAGATTTTTTGGGTGACACATCGTTATTAATCAAAAATTCATTGTTTCTAGTAAACACAGTAAGTGCTTTTAGTTTTTACTACACATTCAATAATGTTGAAGCGACCAGACCACACACACACACTAACACAAGCACGCCCTAAACATTAGAACAAACGCTCAAAGTGAAGTAACTCAAAGAAAACAAGACATACGCAATGCTTTCAGTAGCTAGTAAACCTCAGACAAATGAAAAACAATGTAAAAATGTGAAAAACGCATCACACAGGAACAGCAATTGAGGCCTAGAGATGAGCGAAGAAAAGCTAGCTTCATTTTAAACCCAAGAAGACTATATAAATGCATTTTAAAAACTTTTCCTTCGATCAATAAAGCGCCACAGCCGACATGAAAACTGTGAGGAAAGTAGAAATGAGCAATGCGCGCTAGTCTTGCCATAGCTAGGCGATGGCATGAATAGTTTTTTTTATTGCGATAGCACTTATATGGTCATTCTCGGCGGGTTTTTGCCATTGCTGTTCTGTGTAAGGAAGCTCCAGTTTAACAACATCCCCTGCGCATGATATAAGTTCTATCTGTGGGTAAAAGTGCACGAGCAGGGATGTGTGCTGCTAAAGCGGAGATTAAACGAGCCGGCCCATTTCCGCTGCTCAGAGGGTGCATGTTATAAAACCCTGCCGTGCGTTCGACCGCCATCGAATGTTCCGAGAGGAAATGAGCTGCCCATCTTGAACGAGTATGAAGAAATGCGGGGGAGGCAAGGTCACTCGGGCAGCATCTGTGAACTTTGATTCTAAGAGTGCTGTCGCGATCGCTGGTGCACGAACTATTTTAGCAAGCTACGTGCTGCGCTCTCAATGCGAAGAGACGGAGCAAAAAGAACATTTTTCCCCCAGAAGCAGCCGTATTCTCTAATACCAGAGTATTGTAGAGCTACTCGACATCGGATCCAAAAAAGTTAGCTGCCAGCCTTACTTCGTAAACATTACCATTTGTTGCTACTGCATCCATTGTTCTGCCCTTACGATGAAGTTTTTTTTCCTCCAGTTTTTATGGTTTGACAATATCCATCGCAGAGCGTGTGCTGCACTTGGCAGTTACTTGCCAACGGTGCGGTGAGCTTTTTGCAACACCACAACTGTTGTTGTAAACTCAAACATCCTTATAAAAAAGTTGCATCTTACACCAAAATAAGTTTGTTATATCCAATAATATGTTATAAAGGTATATTTTTAGGAATATATCTATTTCGTGATATTTTTCATTTACTTCGTTACAACTGATATTTTGCTGTATCGAGGTTTGAGTGTAGTTCGACGAACAGCTTCACTGCAAGAAAAGAGTCATGTAATGAGGTCTGCACTGTGAGAGAGCACACATGCCTGCTTTCCCCTTCTTAACGGTGGTGCAACCACAGTCTAGCAACGGGGACAACCCAGCCTCTCAGATAGAGACACTGTTTGCTCTTTTTTGTGGATCCTTTCAACCCTGCAGCTAGCGCACCCTATTCCCTGCTTCCCTTGCTTGCAAAAAAGGGCACTCTTCCTCGGCGAGGGAAACAACGACCACTGGGGAGAAAGAAACTGGAGGTGAGGAAAACGAATGAGTAGACAGGGAGATGGGCTCTCTAAGCCCAACCGTATGCACGAAATTTTCGAGTGATTGTGTCGAGCGACAGTGACAAACTTGCTCCGTCGTGCTGTAGCGTCAGGTGCAACCACATGTCGGCTACAAAGTGTCATTGTCACTAGATTGATACCCCTGAATTACGAAAAGAAGTTTAAAAGTAGGTCAATGACAACATGCTAAATTTATTACTGTCTTGTGCAGCATAAGGAAGCCCCAAAAGCGTTTCACTACATTGTTTTTTTCACCATGTTTGGTTTAACTGCGACAGGGTGCCCAGAAGCGTACACTACAATGGCCATGACGCACTTTGAATGACGATTTCACATAGCAGCAAGTGACCGTTATTGTCACAAGATACCATGGAAACAAATCATCAATAACAAGATTTATGACAAAATACAGTCGCCGTCTCACTCTCCGCGTGAGGAGCGCATGAAGAAAAAGTGGTCAATACCTTTTCTTTCCTTGAAGTAGGTGCTGATAACAAGCATCAAGAGCAAATTGCAACCAAAGTGAGGACCAGGGGTGCAGCCATGTTACCGGAAATCATCACGCTGGGTTGCAGACGACAAGCGATCTATTCTAGTTTTCCAGATTCGCATGACGCAACAAGCAGCGGCTACAAAACAGCCTGCACGACAGCAAATACTATCGCTCGTCACTGTCGCTAGAAAATCATGTTCACGCGGTTGGGCCTTTATACCAACTGTTGACCTCCAAGACCCCACGGACCAGCCATTGATGAAAGCCCTTCCCTTTGTTTGTGAACCTTTCCCTTTGTTCTCTACATAGAGCTGAGTATTCCACTATGCTATGATTACCTGTTATTGCTAACTTAGCAATAAAGAGTTTTTATGTTCTAGCCTGTTGCCTTATTCATTTGAACCCATCGTAGCTGCGATGTGACTCAAGCTACGAGAATAGGATGTTGATCATGCACGGTGCAACTGTGTGCGGCTGGAACCGTAGATAAACTTCCGCACCAGTTGTGTACAGAGTGGACCCCACTCAGCACACAAATGCCACCTTAACTAGATTTGCACATTTTGTACATTTGACACAAGATTCATGCATGGTGTTAATTTCTCACCATCAGTGGTGGGAATGCCTTCCAGCATTTTGGAGCAGTTATTGGAGCAGCCAAAATCTGTTTTTGAAACAGCTACCTCTATGTTTGGAGCATGCAAGTGCTTTTTATGATATACACAGAGGAAAAAAATTTAGCTTTAATTTAGTTCAATGTTCGCTCAGCTTACATAATCATTTATACAGAAGCAGCAAGTCCACAAAATAAGCACCAAATATAAACAGAAGCAGGATCATATACAGAAGCGGTGACATAAAAGAGTGAAGGATATTGCACCAACAATTGAACTACCTGCAGCATAAAAATCTAGCAGCGCACACTCACTCACAAAGGCGTGCGCACGGAGAGGCGAGGGGGGGGGGGGGCAAAGCCAGTCAGCCCCATATAGAGAGGGGAGTGCTGCGAAAAACCTTTGCCCCCTCCCCGCCCCCCCTTAAAAGGGAACCCTGAACATGCCTATGCCCCCCCCCCCCCCCCGCACACACATTCGAACCTTTTTACAGTAAAGTCTCGTTAATACGTACAGCGCCAAAAACGCGGCTAACTGCGCCTTTAAAGGCCAACTCCGGCGTTTTTTTTTTTTACCATGTCAAGGTAGTGGTGTCTCTATGTTCCTGAGACACTCTTGTCATGAGCCCAATAGCTGAAATGCTCAGGAAATTTGAAAATAATTTTTAATAAGCAAAAAAGTACAATACCAAAACCGAAACCAATTCGGGCGCCCTGTCTTCTTATGATGTACTATTTGGTAAGAACCGGACTCCTGCCGGCGCGGAGTATAAAAACTGTGAAAGTCAGACTAGCGAAGCGCCAGCCAAAGAGCACAGAGGAAGGAAGAAAGCTTTCCTGTGTTATACACGTGCCAAACACCACCGCCATCGCCTTTTGACTGCACAATAAACGCTGTAGCGGCCACAGTAGCCATGCCATCGGCTGCGTCACTTCTGTCGACAGGCCAAACATGACGTCGCACAAGAGTGTTGCCAATAATTCTGGCAAGCGAAGTGAACTTTTCGAGGCAATCTTTAAAATTCATTTGCAAACAATCAGTGCATCTCTCAAAACTGTAATTTGGCATAAATGATGGAAATGTGCAAAGGAAAGTACCCAGAGAATTTTATTGAGATCCATTGACCTCGAAAAATCGCCGGAGTTGGCCTTTAACATAGTATGCATTAACCACCAAGTGCCAATTTGCATCTCTTCACGTGCGCCATCGCCACTAAAGAAGGAATAAATACAGTGCCACAGCAAATATTGCCTAAAGTGCCCACCACAAAGCTATTTTTTTCTGTTTGCCAAATTTAAGAAATGACTGGCCCTCTAGCACGTCCGTGTGATGGCACGCGGCGGTGACACCAAGGTGCATTTTGAAACTACTGCAGAGTTAAGGATACGCAGCCGACGCAACGACTGACATAGTGACGAAACGGACATAAGCGGCTATCTGCTACTTAGCGAAAACAGACACAGCTTTTTTTGAGACGCGGTACAATCGCAGATATCCGACCGTCTGCTGGCTAGTTGCATGCCTACTTGGCACACTTCACGTACTTGGCATACAGATTGTTCCAAGCCGCTTGCACTCACTCCACTTCAGACCATGCACAGATGTGGCGAGAAAGCTATTACGTTAACGTGGTGATCTGAGCTTTTTGCAAGCAATGCTCTAGCAGTCCTGGCGACAGGTGCGTTTGGGTTGTTGCACTACTAAAGCGTGCCATCTCGGTGCCCGTGATCCACAACGTTAAACTTCTGCAATAGTGGGCTACTTTAGTTTGTGCAAAGCGGTGCACACGGTCCCGTACAACGATTTAGGCAGCAGCGATCAGCGCCCCTGCACACTCAAGTAGTTGCCAGCAATTAAAAGCGTGCAGCAGGCTTAAAGCGTGGCTACGCCACACATGTAGGGTTTTTATCAGCGCTGTCATACTGGTGCACTTTTCGGTGGCTGCCACATTGCCTTCGTCCTTTGGCCGTGATTACCAGAAAAGGCACTGCTGCAATTGCACCAAAGTGGGAATAATTGTTCGGCCGATTCCGCGCTCTAGCAGCTACACCGTTGGACATAAATGCAGTAGGGCAAGTGTAGAAGATGGTGACCATCATGTAATATCCGCTCATATGCGTCCTGTCGACATTACTTTCGGTTCCAAAACCACATTGTGGAGAGGCTATGGCGCAAATCACACACAAAAAAAGACCTTTTGGAGCAGTATAGCGCAGTAATTTCCTGGTGGAACAGGTTGGCGAAATTGCTGCAGGTTTCCCATCACTGCGCCATGCATGAAACAAAATACGACGTGACCAAACAAACTACACTGTAAAATGGATGCGGCTGTGTCTTCTGTGTATCCAGTGCATGGTTGCTATGCTCGGTCAATGATAAGACTAGACAAAATTTAACTTTGTGCGCGCAGCACTTTCATCCCTGCTTATATTATATCTGCACAGTAAAACAAAAAATTCCCCATAAACTTGATACATACATCAGGAATGTCATCCTCTTGCTCTTCGGTCACCTCCTCAACCACTTCAGCTTTGTACTCACTAATCAGATCCTTCAAGGGCTTCCTATCTACACAACTTGCTACGAAGGGATGCTGCATTAGATTAAGAATATTGAGAATTGCAAATTAGTCATAGCATTCAAGCATTTTTCTTCAATCCTGGGAATATTTATAGTAAAACAAACCTTCAGCAGCTCCTCTGAGGTTGGCCTTTGATTTGGGTCTTTGGTCAGGCAAAGGGTTAAAAAATCTCTGAACTCTTTTGACCTGCACAAAACGATTCATGGACTACATTAGACTGGTGTCAACATTTCACATAGAAGGTAAGGGCCACATTTGTTTATTTGGAAATTAATCTATGTGAATCCAGCAAATGCATGTTATCACCCGAGAATTGTAGCACAACTTCTTACAAAAGGCTGTTGCTGTAATGGCAGTATTCTCTATAACATGTGCCTCTAAGCCTTAGTACTAACAGTCTTTCGTTAGCTAGCAGTGCTACTGACAATATATTTGAGCAAGTCCCATTTCATCACATATCTTTTCAATAACTGATCATTTCCCAAACCATAGCCATAATTTGAACACATACACATTTTGAACCCTTTACTGCAACCGCGAGCCACTGAAAATTCACTAGTATTGTCGTGGCACTCTTTGGCTATCTCAGGATTTTGCACCAAAAACACACACACACACACACACACACAAAAATCCCCACATGAGGTGCAGTACAACAAAGAAAGGAAAATCCCACCTTAACCTTCTGTGTCTTTTTAAAATGATATTCTCTACATGCACATGAAACCTGATGAAGCAACATGTTCCTTCTATGCTGCTTCAGTTAACTTTACTAATTAAAGAAAATGCAATGCTCTATAAAAAGCACAAATTTTAATTTAGGGCATGCAACAGAAATGTAACCTCCAAAATGTTAGCTTTCCTTTAGTCATGCTATCCCATAGCATGACTAAAAGTGCCAAGAATACAGAAATAGCCACCAAGATAAAAAAAGCAGGAGGGTGTCCCCCTCCTTTGTACAAGTTGCTGATAAATGATAAATAACACACAATGGAAGACATCACACATTATTATCTGATAAACAATTCAGTGAATTTATTAAGGGTATACTAAGATGACATCAATTTACAGTGGTTAATAATACTTTACACTAAAAAATGGTTCGTAAATGACAGTAGCAGTGGCCCAATATTATTTATAAAAGCTTTGTGCATGACTATGATACTTGTTTTCTAAGCTCAATTTAACGTTTACTTAGAGATTAATGAACCCATACTATTCTACAGACTACAGTAAAAGCTCATTAATTCAAATTCCACGGGAACGCTGAGCAATTTCGAATTAAAGAAAATTCGAAATAATGAAAGTGAGCAAAAATGGGTGGATTTCGGGGGTGGGGCACGAAAAATATTTATTGGCCAAAAAAGTCAGTGATGACCATCTGCTTCTTCTTCTCTGAATGCCACAGCTGCGGCTCCCTCTTCCAGCGCGCGGACGCGGCGCAGGGAATCCTCTTCACCCTCTTCAAAGCTGAAGAAGAGACGCGCCACATTAAGTGCCTCCATCACCGCAGAAGCTGACGGGCGTACAGGCGCTTTGTCATTTTCGTCTTCCTCACCTTCTGGCTCTTCAGCATCAGGCTGCACACCGGCTACTTGAGCGATAATGTCCTCATCAGTCAGGGCACCACACACCGATGCACCGGTGTCAACTTCAACATAATCGGCAAAACGTACGCCCCGAAGAGTGTCGCGCAATGCCACTGGCATGAGCTCCTCAGCCCCATCCACGTCGACGTCACAACTATCCCGCGCACTTCCAGCTGCAAATCCACTGTGGCGGAAACAGTGCGATTGTGGCCGCGGTCACCTGTTCCCATGCGCGCACCAACATGTGCATGGCAGTGAGCAGTGTAATGCCGAAGTCCTTCCTGTCGCCCGCGCACAAAATCATTCGTGAACGAACAACGTGCTCGAAGAACATAGTGACGCTGCCGGGAGCGGCCTAGGACTGCTAGGACTACTCCGCCGACTCCTCAGCGTCCCGTGGGTCCCGCGTACAAGTGGCGCCAGGCGCTGAGATAACGGGAGGGCTACGAAAAAAAAAAAAAATTGCTCCCTGGATTTTGGAGGCCATACTTTGCTCGAAGGCCACTGCCACTTGAAGCTCGAAAAAACTGGTCGTGCCACCTATCGTTCGACCGTAAAAGCTTCCACTAGTGTTTGACGATGATGACGCACGGCGGCGCGCGCTTCGAATTATCCGTAGAGGCAGCAATTTCTGTTCGAATTAACGAATCGTTTTACACATGGTCTCCTATGCACTGCGGACCGGACTGCGGCAATCATTTCGAATTATCCAAAATTTCGAATTAATGAGGTGTGAATTAACGAGCTTTCACTGTACCATCAATCATCGGAGAAAGCAATGAAGAACCTACCATTTAGAAGGTTGAGCGAGGGTTGGTGGGTCAGACTTTTGGATCTTGAGCAAGACTCGCATAGGATTCATTTCATTATTTGGAGGTTCCATCTGTGCAAACTCAATCAGGGTAATGCCAAGACTCCAGATGTCAGCCTTGTAGTCATAGGGATTGTCCCGGTATGTCTCACAAAGGACCACTTCTGGTGCCATCCTGAATAAACAGAGTGTGAATGCATAAGAATTGGAAATTTTTTTAAAGTGATTTATCAAGAAAAAAGAAAAGTATAAAGATTATTTGCAGTAAACAGGAGGGCAGCAATAGCTGCTGTTTAATAAATCCCATAGCAGCTCAGTGGCTATGCAAATTCTCGAATAGAATTTACAAAATTTCAACAAATTACTGTTCATGTAGAGCAATGTCGATAAAATACTGAATAAATTTTATCATAGCTTAGTGATAGGCTGTTCAAGCCATACCTACGATGACCTTAGCCTGATGACTGATGAGATGAGTAGTACCAAAAGCAACACTAATTTACAGTCAACAACTGACTTTTTGGACAGCTGCTGACTCTGATGGCTTTGGGGTATTGTCACACATTCCACACTGAAACCCTCGCAGTAAAATTTTTTCAAAATATTCCTGCAATGCAGGTGAAATATGACACTAATTAAAGCCAGAAGCGTCAATGTTTTCTTGAAGGCTCCAACCAGTGCCTTTGAGTTTGAAACTGGTGGTGCTCTTGGACTTAAGTCAGCTTCACCACTATTTCAAAAATTTATGTGGTCAAGCATACACAATGTATTGCAGTGAAGCATATCCCTAATGGCAATAGACCCTTGTCCCAAGACATGATGCATATGCCCCACCTGCCACATCCTCTATCAGAGCATGAGAACATCCGACTCTAAAAAGGCCCTCAGAGCTAGTTTTGATGTGGCTGTCACAACTTCGGCTTTTTGAGAGCAGTTAAAAAATCATGCCTTTACTTTTTCAGTTTAATTTTTAAGACTATTCGGATATAATATTATTATCTGAGGATTTATGTCCCAAAACCACGATATGATTATTATAGACGCTGCAGTAAAGGGCTCTAAAAATTCTGATCACCTGGGGTTCTTGAAGGGTCCCTGAAACGTTTTTTTCACATTCCGTTTATGATTAGACCACTACTGGAGCAAATCATTGGCACCAGAGTACAATCGAAACACCCATTATTAAAGTAGCTAAGAGTACTTAAAAAGTACCCTCCACCTTCGCTGCGCCTTTCACCCTCAACTGCCCTCAACTCTTGCTTTGAGTGCTAGGGGCTAAGCACCGCCTTCACGGCGCCTGCGTCACGATGCGGCGTAAAACCGCATACGCGTGAGTCCCGCTGCCAATCTGATACCGGCAGTCTGTGCTGCGCATTCCACAGTCAATCAGATCAACTGGAAACGACATCAGTGGGTCAGAGCGTGTCGCTTGGTGTATGGGAGGTTGAAAACGCACTTAGCTGAATCGCAGCGATTCTCAGCTTTAAAGCGTTGTAATAAATTGCACAGTTTACGCAGACAGCTCAAATTGGTCTCTAAGTTACCCTTACGACTTGGAATACCGGCTCAACATGTTTGTAAAAAATTGTCAAAACCGTTTCAGGGTCCCTTCAAAGGGACACTAAAGTCAAGTAACAATTTACCTCAGAGTGAAAGCTAAATGCATGACAACATCTAGAACGACAATATTATCAATAGCAGTGCCCTAATTACCGAGAAATATAGGTAAATGCAAAAGAATACATGCGCCACAGTAGGATATTCTCAAAATATTGCCGATGACGTCAGATGAACCACCTACAATTAATCGCTAGTAATTGATATAGCTGAACTAAAAAATGAACCTTCCGGCATCAAGAGACGCAATAAAATGCTGCTTGTTCATTTCTGTTAGATTCATGAAAACAAGAACCACCAGACGTTACCACGGGGAATGTCGCGAGTGGTTAAAAAATTTAATTTTCGCGTGGTTAAACTGGACAGGTCGTGCCATCTAGCGGGGCCCAGTTGAACCAAAACACGTCCGCCATGTCAGAGCCAATAGCAGGATATCGATCAATGGCCATTGTTGTTGCTGTGGCTCTGCTGCTCTCGTTCTGCTGCTACTAGTATCGGCGGCCACGCAGTAACGCCGCTCAACGTTCTGCATGGCAAAAATGACGTTAGACAGTCCCCTTCTTAGGCGGGTAATTTGAAGTGTACTAAACCAATGCGGACGACTAAAATGTGATTTTATTTCAAAATAAGCCCTTCCTTGGCACAAAAGTAACACTACGATGTTTCATACCAGCCAATCTGACAACAAAGAAATTCAGAAAATCCCTGAGCGGGCAAGGGAGGCGAGGAGGGGGTTAATTTTTTTTAACTTGTAGCTGTTATGAATTTGCCTTTAGCGGCAAGAATAATCATGTTTTACCGCCACAAGTCCAATTGACGTGCTGAATTATTTCCGCCCCATTTTCGGCACCAGAAGAAAAACAACCACAATAACAAAAAAAAAAAAACATCGCGAAAAACAAGAGGGGGGGGGGGGGTCCCAAACACAAGCGCAAACATAGGCGTTGCGATCTCACAATGGCTCGGAGTGTCCGAACACACGAGGGTAGGGTTTCCCACTAAGGTAAGAGTCTCAAAGGGGGAGCACAAATACTCACGAAATTTCGCCTCATCAAAAGAATTAACTAGCAAAAAAAAAAAAAAAACGATTTCCATCAGGACAACTCGTGCATGTCTTCACACGTGAACGGACGGGACGGCGCAGCGAGATGCCGCAAAAGTGAGGGTCAAAGCTTTGGCTTTGGTCGCTGCAAGATTCTTTGGACCGGAACGCCAAAACCCTTCCAGCCTTTTTTACGTCTTAACAGTCTTTAATCTACCGCTGCGTCAGCCATGTGCCTTCGGAGCTCGTTGATCGCTATCGCATCGCCGCGACCGCGATTTTATGGGCAGAGGTTGCGGCAAACAGTAGTTTTGTTTTCAATCTACGTGCCTTCAACACTAAGTCGTTTTATGCTATCTATGAACGCAGCTACCGAAATTTTCTCCACATTGTTTGCGGAAATCAGTATTGCTTTGACTGGTCGAGCATTGGCCCCACGCACACTTCCGGAGTTCTGTCAGTAACGTCGTTGCCATACATGATCGTGTCAAACGACCGCGGTTTCGCCCAAAGCGGTTGTGGAAACGACAACTACAGTGCGTGCGCTGGTCTCACGCGTACTTCCGAAGCTTTGCGCTCGCTGCTCTCAATCGGCCTTCGTCCAACGGTATCGGTATTGAAGTTCATATCATGCCGCAATGAGGAAAAGTGTTCGCCACATTCGAATTTCGGCCCAATGAACATATGAATTTGGCTTCGGAATTTCACTAATTTGTGTCTGCCGCGGCTTCACATTACTGAGACTGTACAGTACATTTAGACGAACGTCTCTCAAATTTGTTTATAATAAAATGCGGTGGGCTTGGAAAAAGCCCGGAACAGACTGACCTGCATTTTCGTCAATGCGGCCAGACCTCCGCACACAAATTTCGATTTTTGGGAAATATTCCTAGCAACCGTACAAATGGATGAGACCTTCAAAATACAGGAGACTTGGCAGGTTTGTGATGATGCTAACGCTAATAGATATTGCCCTCTCTCGGTGGCGGAATATAGCACAACACCATTTTTATGGAGACTAGCTATGGCAATGTGCCATAGCAAATCACAGAGGCCACGCTATTGTACTAATTTTATTTTTTTTTAATCAGAAATGAAGTATGTTGCGTAAAGTTTTACACAAGATTCATAAAATCGTAAGCCTGGTCGAAATTCGTACATTTTACGAGAAAATTGGAAAAGTTGGCAGGTATGCTTCAGTGTCCCTTCAATGTGCCCCTAAATCTAAGTACTCGGGCCTCGAACATTTTTGCCTCCATTGAAAATACAGCTACCTTAATATCAATTTTCCTCACATGATAACTTTACTATATGACATGCAATTAATGGAACACTAAGGAACAAAGTTTAGAGAACATTTGTGAAATTTGCGTCACTGTCCTTGTTTATAAGAACACCAGAGATTTCTTACCAATATGGCGTGCCAATGAATGAATCTCGCTTCTGGAGTGTATGTTTGTTCTTTGCAGAAACACCAAAATCCGCTGAAAATCATTAAAACAGTGAATTAACCACATGCAATAATGGAAGATAGTTTTTGTGTTTTGAGAAAGCTTTTTACACAGGAAAGTTTCCACATGAATTATGTACGGATAGCACTGTGCACCAAATTAATATGACAGGCACTGGTGCTTATTTTTATTTGAAGACACTTTCACTTAGAGCTCCTCACATAATGCGCTAACAGAATGTACAAAAGAACAAAATATGAACACATTTCATCTAAAGATTTTTAGAATGCCTTTTTTTTGCTCAGGAAGCTATCATTAACATAGTAAAAAATGATATGATATGCATCGAAATATCACGTGAGGATATCAAATAAAACAATCACCTGAACATGAAAATAAAGTACCTCAATATTACAGCAAACTGCACAGTGAACATTACAGTGAAAAGATCTCACTTCTGTTTTAGTGAAAAAATGAAAACTTCATTTTTGATATTATAAATTACAGATCAACCAACATTATAATGACAAGGCTTACAAGTTGAAAGATGGAATGGCATGACTTGGTATTGCGAATTGGAACAGAACACAATTAAGCAATAATAACATTGATTCTGCAGGATTACTTTGCACAAACTTCTTTAAACTGACATTCAATGTGTGCAAACTACTACACTACAAGATGGCATGAAGTAGAAAAGGGTGACATTGAGCGCGCTCTCGTGGTGATGCGTCACCACAACCACATTTATGTTTACTCATCATAAAGAGAAGACATAAAACACAATTTATAGTAGAATCTTGTTAATACAAGTTCTTTCAGACCGTAAAATATTGTCAAACTACATGGAATGGATAACTTTTGATAATTAACCAGTTGTTCAACAGGTCGCAAAACTGTTCAGTGCGTACAGTAGTCATTCAATAAAGGTATCTCTATCGCCAATCTATCAATGCATTCTACTGACTCAGGCAAAGCAATTTATCAGGCCAGTGCAGCAGATTTGTACCTCTCCAAAACAATGGGCACTACCTGTAATACACCAATCCTATCTTTTTAATTAACACAGCCCTATGCCCAAATCTGGTAGTTCTTTCTGAGTTTCATTACAACTACAACTACTGCTGCCAACCAAAATAGTGCCTCATTTACAAGCACTTCAGCTGACCACACACATGAAGTTGTAGAGAGAATTACAGACATGTATCAAATAATGTAAATAAGCCCCTTTCTTTTCATACTCATACTTAACGAGTGAATTTTACAGAATTTTTATATTTCACTTTTTTTAAAGTATTTAATATTCAAAGTCTACTTTTCCACAATGTTATATAAAATAAAAGAACCCACATCAGGTTTCACAGTTACAGAAATTGTAACACAAGATATGAAGAGAATTTCGATTTTAATGTTTATTACTGGACAAATTAGAAAAAGTGGAATGGTACTATTGCCATACATCCGCGAATTCATCTTCACTGCCAAAACACAATGACTCGCTCTTTCTCTCAATGCATTGGCTAGTGTTTGCAAGCTATGGGTAATCCTTATTGCCGAAGGCAAGGAATCGCATTATATTAGTGATGAGCCCAGCCTTCTTTCAATTTCCTATAGCAAAATCTCGGGAAATGAAAACCACTTTTATTTCCTTGGAACACCTGTCTCAAATTTATTTGGCTTATAATTGGCTGCCACACTTTTAACATTTTTTCAGTAGACTTCAGTTCTTAAGAAGCTGCCTCCTCTATTTTATCAATGCCAGCCAGATGTGCCCGATCCAGCCGTTCACCACCTTCTTCTCTAGCCTTTTCCTGCCCTATCCGATTACCTAGCCTTTGCGTGCCCTTTGCGGTCATGGGGAAGACAACCTCTCATGCCCCCAGTGCATAGCGTGTCACTGTTCATGGCGCTATGTGGGCAACCAATGGGGAAGCATCACTGCAACGCTATTGCATGCGCTGCGCTGTGACGCAGCGGCAGCATTGCTTGAAGCCACAAAGAAGCAGTATGAAGGAACAAATCTGACAGACATAAAATATTGGAGGGGGAAACAAGTATATCGCATCTACGGGGGAAAGCGCTCGAAAGCACGTGTAACACAAGCAGCGCTATCCATCATGTAGCGTGACATCACAACCACTAACGAACTAAGGCGGACAGACAGCTCCCGTTGAGGAGCGCGTTTGCACTGGCGCTGAGAGAAATAAAGGTGGCATTGGTTAAACAGGACATATTTTCCCTGTCCGCTCCACACTCCATTAATAACAAAACTCCAGGGTGTTGCTTTGCGGCATAGGCATTGCATGCTTCACATTGGATTGTAAAGCCGAATTCTCTGTCTCTGGTTGGTGACATTCTGAGAAGCACCTCCCATGAATGCACTCTCTCTCTCCAAATGTGTCTCCCTTGAGAAGTAGGACATACAGCCATCCGTTTTATTACCAATCAATATGCAGACAAAATCGTCACCGGCTAAACTATGTGCTGTGTTTGTTAACTTGTAATGCCCAGACCTGGTAAGGGGCCATTTAAGATTAGAAATTTCATTATTCAAACAAACTTATAAAATATAAGGCTAAGTAAATCTAGACAACTAGGCAACTACTGAACAATATTCTTCTGTAGATATTTAAATATAGGAGGCAGTAACACTTTGTTTGATGTAAAAGTAGTGGACTTAAAAAAAAACAATTCTAGCTGAGCGAAACTGAAACAAAATGCAGATTTTAAAATGATACAGCCATAAAAGATCTGAGCTTAGTAAACAAATTTGAATTAAACCCAGCTAGAAGTACGTGAGGAACAAAGACAATACTGCAACATTTTCCCAGCTATATGCACTTGAAATGTCTAAAGAAGGTATCCTTTAAAGCTACAAAATCGAGGTATATGCAATTTTCGAACATGCACAGGTATGCTGAATGTTTCCTGTAAAACAACAACACTTCATAAATTGCATAGAAAAGCACTCACACTAGAAAATTACAGTAATATTTGCAATGCCCACGGGCTACAGGTGGCGCTCCATGCAATGAAAGATGGCTGTGAAAGGAGGTCAACCCGTGAAATCGCATAGGAAAAGACAGAACGCATGAATGTACGCCCCGCACAGCTTTCATTGAATGAACTTTTGGTCGTCAAATGAATGTACATTGGACCAAAGTACTTTTCCAAATAATAGAAGCTGCTAAATGTTTGCTACCTTATTTATTGCTGCAGTGCGAAGGGTGGTGGGGTCAGCTTATGGAGCGTGCATCAAAGATGCCTAGCATAATTCTGTGCGTGCTAGAGAAAACTGCGCAAAGTAGAATTTATGTATGAACCAAGTGGCACTCCGACGTAACTAGTACCGAGTCTTGACGACAGAATTGCCGCAGTAGTAGGCCACTAGTGAGTAGCGTGCCATCACGACCGCACGGGACCGAATGTTTAACGTGGCGATAGTTTGCAAACATGAAGTTGCTTCTTCAACGGAACACAAGCTTTTCATTCAGTAGCACTTGGGTTCTAACAATGCTCAGACTCTAACTGCACGCAATTCACTGCACTTGGATGTTCCAGGTTCCACCAGCGCGATCGAAACAAGAACATTAAAAAGAATACACACATATGCATTCTGCAACGTTGAAATTGCAAAAATTCATCAAACAACAATATAGTTCGGAAGGCACCAGTGAAGTGCAGGAGAAGCAGAAAACGTAGATTGTAGCCATAACTGCACGTTTTATCGCTCCAAACATTTCACTTTGCTGATCGAGCACGAGCGTGTTGGCAGCATGTGGCGCTCCATGATATCCACTGTAATTGGGCTACATGCAATGCACAAGAAAAACTTTTATTTTGACCTTGCTGAAGGATGTACATTATATACAGCCAAAGTGGCTTACAAACGTCAAGAAAACATTAACGCACGAGGAAATCTGAAGTATAACTCACTCCTCGTGAGTTACCAGCCGATCGTTCATCACTGCTGTCACTCTTGGTGCATTGACCACCTTCTGCATCCAGTAAAAAAAGCCTAGTCGTCCCGATGGTTTCTTTCAACATCACTGCTGAAAGCAATCTGAGAAATTTCCCCCGGCGAACGACTTCGATCACGCCAACACCGCGTCACTTACCACATTTATCTGCGGTTTATCTGGGCATGGAAAACACTTTGCTCTGAAACCCATTTACAAGCGAATTGCTTGCAGTGTGTGCCATATATCAACAAACGCACAAGAACAAGCGGCACAGCGTTGGCCATGTTTTCGAGAGCAAATCGCAAGCTGACGCGCACTACAAAAGCACTGATGAATGTTATATGCACATAAAACAAGGTGAGTTTCAACTGCAAAAGTCTGACGATAACACTTAACTAACTTCGTGGCTACAGAAAATCTCACAAATCTGATATGTGTACTCTGCAGGCTATCATCCAAAGTGCAAGTTACCACATCTTTCACTTAACAGAACTTCGCGTCTTGCAAGAACGAATCAGATTTATCGTCTCGCGAACGGTCCAGTTTATTCACTGATGCACGAAACATGCAACATGCAAAGTGGTTAGTGTTCATTTCTTGCTAACGTGTTGACACTGAGGCTAGCACAGTCTAACAAGGGAGTGTCTACCTACTGGCCATCCTCGAGAGGACGCCTTTAAATTCTGCTTGGTGGCATAACAGTCTATGGCCATTGCAAATATTGAAAGTAAACATCCTTTGCACACAAACATTCCAATTAACTCACCAATTTTAACGTCTCCATCCAAGGTGAGGAGCACATTGCCAGCTTTCAGATCTCGGTGGATAACTTTCTTTGAGTGTAGAAAGCGAAGGCCTTCACAGATCTCATGGCACAGGTAACGAATTTGAGGCTCAGTCAGAGGTTTTTCCAAGTCAATCATAATCCCATCCACTGCCCCAGCTTCGCAGAACTCTATCAACATCTGTTAACAAGTAGAATCGCCTTATCACAAGTTATGCAAGAGTGATGGGAAGGAAGTATGCTATACTCTCCTCTCTTACCCACACTTACTAAAAACGTTGCTCTAAATAGTGCTCAGCTATATATTGTGACATGGCAATCATACTCCAGGATACTTTTTTCACAGTTATTGCATTACAAAGGTTTCTGCTCACTTTGCAAAACCAACAAGCTTAAATGTTCACCCTACCGCTCAACTTGCCATGGGCTAAGCCATTAAGCATCTGAATTATGTGCTAGTCAATTGACCTTGCACAATATAATGTTCCTCTGTGACAGAGCATCATCAGCCTTATCTCTACTTGGAACACACACAGCAGTTTCTCCTCTGGAGCCACATTATTGTGAGGTACAGTATACTTCCATCAGTTGGTTAATTCCCCATTTAAACGGCACAGAGAGGACTGAAGAATGACGAAAAGATAATTTTGTGATTCCATCATGCAGATGCAGCAACGGCTGTTAGGGTATCCACAGTATACTTATATATCTTATCCATTCCTGCTTTGACATGATCGCCATTCATGCCATATTGCCTGCAGGCACTGATGAATTTGTTACCCAACATTAAATTGAGCCAAGAAGTTAAAAGGCAGTGTGGGTGATACATGTGGGCTTGAAGGTAGTATATGGGCTCAAAATACTTACTCTTACAATTTTACACACAAAATTGTACCGGCTCACTACAAATCACTACACTTCTTAAATAGCATGCTACCTCCTGAACTGACATGGGAGATAACGCAATGTCAAAGTTGAAATTAAAACATGCACAGCCTATTCAAACAAAGTGAGCCACAAAATGAAGGCTCACATGTTATCTTAGGCAACAGAACACAACTCCGCAGAGTCTTGGGCATCTTCAGGTAACTTACACCATGCAATGCTTAGAAGGCACAAATTTTGCTGCAGTAGTTCATGCCCAACAGCCAGTAAGTTATAATTCTGCTGGATTTTGCAGGAGTTTTATTTTTTAACATAAATATCCTGCTTAATTTCTCACTTGGAAAAAAAAAAACTGTATTTGTCATAACTTCTTTTGCTAGATATCAATAGAGTGGAAGTGTGTTCCACAAGTTGGGAACAACCAAATGCTGTTAAAGTCTGTAAATTTAATAACAATAAACCCAGGTCAGCCGGATTATAGATTATTTTATGCTCACTTATGTACCCTGCACTATCATAAGATTTTCAAAAATTTTGAAAAGCAATCTATAAATGAGAAATGTGTAAAAAAAATCGAACATGAACAGCAAATGCATAGAAGACATGACATTTTAGTCTTGTCAATTGCTGACAGAAATGAAAACACCTGTAAATTCTACACCCAATAAGATGTTCACTAATATAGACAGGTTACAACAAATATCATGTGTACATTGTTGAAAAAAAGAGATTGCAGAAACATTGCTCATGCATATTCATTTTTGACAACAGAGGCCACCAAACTGACATGTTATTTTTAGCAAAGGCATGCCTGCCCATGTTTTTAATCCAACATGACCGAAACCACTAAAATCACTACACATCTGCAGGCAATAATATTCAAGCAGTACAGGAGCATTGTTCACATGCCCATGAAAACAATAGCAAAGCAGGATCTCATCATATCTTATCAGGCGACAGATTACTCAGCCCAGAAGGAGGCATACTACTGGAAGCCAGCCAAGTCCCTCCACTAAGTGATGGCAAGCCAAGGCCGTACCTTCAGCTCTATCAGACCATAGCTCCGCCTCGAGAAAATGCACAATGCTATACAAAGAGGCATATTTACATCCTCCTGGAACCCATATAGTGGCTGACACAAGCTGCAGATAAAGCCTCGCAAATGGCAAAATCCTTGCTTACGCACACTAGTTTACATCACAGCCACATTTGCTTGCACGCACAAAAACAAGAAAGAATATATCCTGAGGTCCACTATGCTTCAAAATGCAAATTACACACCGACATCATGTATACTGTCACAAATGTTTAGAATATGCAAGTTTAAAAAATGTCCCTTCATTTCTAACCTGGTAGCGTAGCATGAAATAGTAGTAGTTCTATAGGCCACACAAATAGCTACTGTGTTTTTGTAATAATATGCATCAATTTAGGGCCAAGTAATGCACATGCTTTTGTTTCCACCATCATCAGTTCTGTGTCACATCAGCATAATAGCATGATGTTGACTCGTACCAGAGCCAATATCACCTTTGGAGGTCAGACTATGAGACATGATGTGGTGATCTCAAGTATTTGTGCATACCTCCTGATATACTTAAAAGGTTTGATGTGGTTCATTCCCTGACTTATGTAAATAGTCTAACCACTGACTTACCGGCGTGTTTATGCAATTAAGTAATTCAACTTTCTGGTGGCTTCTGCATTCAACGAACTAGCATGGACCCTTGTGCATTGCCTACACATTAGCTATTAGTGTTTGTCCAGGGGCCATATTCTGTTTAACTATTAGGTTTCTAAAGAGCTCACACCTGCCAACATGCTATTGGGTAATACTGTCGTTGCAGGGGCGCGACACTCATGTGACAATGGTGTCACCCAATCACATGTGAGCTCTTCAGAAACCTATTCGTAAATTCAATATGACCCCTAGTAATTTAATGTCACCACACCTATAACTGGGACCTGACATCTGCTCACACAGATTATTACACCTGACAATACCTGAACTCACTACCAACCAATAAAATTTGACTGGTTGTATTCTACATGTACACATTAGTGCCTAGAAATAGGCTGCTTTAACCACTTCGTACGTTACATTCAGTGTGTTATTCATTTTGCCCATTTAAATGCTACTACTATGCCAGTGTCATTGGCTGGCTATGTTTAAGAGGCAAGAGAAGAGGGCGATATCATTTGTTACTGCTACACAGTACAATTATGGCACTGTTGCTATTTTACCTTGCTATCAAATTGCATTGATGTCAGTGACAGGTGCCCTAGCACTTATCACTAACATAAATGCAATTTTCTTTTAATATGAAAATGCAGCTCCCGCTGAGCAGTAATGATATTATTTAAATAATGCTTAAATAAAGAATAAGGAAAAGAAAGGTAGATAAAGACACAACTATAACTAACACCACAGCAGCTTTATACCCCTGTCACACGGCACCCGTAATGTCATTCGCTGCGAATGACATTAGGTATTAATGTCATTTTTGTTGCTTCTACATAGGCACAGTGAATGACATTCACTCGCTGAATGTGTTCACTGAACTCATTTAGGCGAACATGTGTACTTGCATCAACAGGCACTTGACAAGAGATTACAGCATCAATATCTTAAAGCAAGTGTAAATGATGTTTAGGTGCTTGATAGAGGTTGTTGTTAACTTTTGGGTAACTTTTTAACGTGCAACCCGATAGTGAAAGCAATTTGTGCCACTATATTCTCTTTCCCAAACTCAGAATTGATGCTATAGTGCCTCCTGTCAGCCATGTTTACAAACGTTAGCTGTTGGTGCAGCGTCGTCGCGGTAGACTCGCCAGTAGCAGGATACGCACGCAAGTTGTGACTGCAAGCTTTAAGTTAGTCTTTCTTTGGTATGACGATTTTTTTCTCTACCCAATGCTGTTTTATCACATTGCAGTATATTTTCGACCACCCTGACAGTGTTACGTAAATTAAATGCAGGATTTGTAAATTTTTGGTATCATAGCAGCCTGCCAATAAACAATGGCATGAATCGCAAATGTCATTTCACGTAGCCATGTAGCCCGGAATACAAGACCGCAACGACATTCGTTTTGAATGTCATTCGCTGCGAATGACATTATACGTGCCGTGTGACAGAGGTATAACACGCTGGATATGGTGCAAACAAAAGTTATTCTTCCGTTTGTACGTGAAGCTAAACATTGCAAAAGAAATAATAGTTTCTGCAGTAGACAAATCCCAATGCCACCAAAAATTGTGTCAAGATTTTTACACCTGAAGCACAGGCACATATTAAGGGCATTGAGAACTTTTCTGAAGAACCATAAATGCTACCATACCCATAATTTCCCTTCATAAAAAAAGGCTTCCTTGAGGTCCACAATGTTCTGATGTTTGCATTCATTAAGAATATCAATCTCAACTGTGAAGTCTTCCAGATCATCTTCTCCTTTGAGCTCGCATATCTTCGCAGCAGCTAGTACACCAGTTGCTCTGTGCCGAGCCTGTCAACAAAAAAGATTTTTTTTTTCTTTTTAAATGTTTTTTTAGTGAATACATTTAAAAATGATGTTTCAAGATTTGATCTCCATTTAGTTAGCAAGCGATGACATGACACCGCACCATACAGAAGGTGCTTGTAATAACAAATTTAATGGTTACAAATTGAGTTATGCTCGCACATCTGCAAAATTTTCGGTAGCACTTAAGAGATTGACTACGCACAATATCGATGTAACCAACAAGCTCAACGAAAGTCTAATACACTAAAATGCGCACGGTCACAACAGATGTGACCCGGCACACGTCCAAAACAAGTGTGTCGCCCCCAAAGAAGCGAAAACAACGCAAGAAACGGCAGTCCTACCAGTGGAGGAATTTCCGGAATGCCAGCGTAATGTGCGGCCCCAAAACACACGCAAAGGGGAACAGACATCTGGTATCCCGGAGAAACAAGTTGTCATTGTGGCAACACATTTTCAGGTCAACACACATCATGCATAATTAAATTAGATTGAACAGCACGAGGTTCCCGATAGAACAGATAACTGTACACATCCGAAAGATAGCTGCTCGGTTTCAAGCGGCTGACAGGATAGCGGAGCTAAAGCACAGCGCTTAGTAATTTGTAATTTTCACTGCTTCACTTAGACAATATAGCCGCTCTGATGACATTTCAAGGTGACGCTTCAGTCACACGCCACGACAACGAAGATAGCAACAATGACATTCACAATTAACCTCTAATTTGTCATACTGCGCGATATCGCACAGATGCTGCGCTCGAGCAACTGGCAATATCAGCCCGCACGCAGAAGCAACTGGTAATCATCTCACCTTGTACACTTTACCGAAGGCACCGTCGCCCAACTCTCCAATGATTTCCCAGTATTCTTCGGGATTCTCCTCGAAGCGAATGTTACTGCAAACTTTGCGACGCTTGGCATCTCCTCCTCCTACACCGCCTAAGTTGAATATTTTCTTGAAGTTGGAAATAAACGACGACATGCTTCTAGAGCACCTTGGCCTCAAACTAGAAGCGTCAAAACAACTTTTTCACTCGAGCACATGACATGAGGGGCGGTACGTCAGAGGCACCTGCCAAAATTTGATGTTCTTGCCACGCACTTCACCGCCGACTGGCTGCTATTAGGCCTAAAAATTACAACGGGAAGTAGGATCGCCGTGTTGGGCCTCATGTAACAAAGTCCGTCTAGATCGTAGACACTGATCACATAGCGGCCGACACGTTTCGCTGATGCTCGCGGGCCGTTGAAACAGTTTTGAGCCCTGTAGAGGGCTGACACTCGGCAAGCTTCGCAATTACATAGGCGGCGACAAACTCAACTATCAGATGATTCACCTAGTCGGCTGCCATATTGCAATATGACGTCATGATTAGTTTTACGCGCGCCCGACAGGTGGTTGCAAAAGAGCGGAGACCGCGACGTCCACACCCCCATCCCCTTCCCACCGGAACCTTCCTGGTGCACTTTTTATGCAGTTTTTGCGGTGGAACACGTACAATTTCCAAACTTCTATCGTTATAAGACTCCTACGGATAAACGCAAATGACAACCATCTAGGCCGTCCATTATTTGTTGACCTACTACCGGTCATTTCACCGAAAAATTAAATTTCAGTATATCATACGAAGGTTCTCCAGTTTACACTATCACTCACGTCGCTTGCCACTATGGATATATAAGAAAAATTTACAGACAAATTTTAGCAAACTTTCCAGTCTATGACACTTTATTTATCACAAGAACAGAGCAAATATGACCATGTATGTACATATAAATAAAACACCTATACAAGAACAAGTTCCAAACGCGTTATTTACATCAAACTTACATTGCTTAAATTCATGAAGCAGGTGGAGGTAAAAAAAAGAAAGAAGCAAATGCCAAGTACATAATATGAAGAGGAGTTATTAGCAACTGGACCGACCATTTTTTTTTTCTTGCAAGTATTTTCTTTATTTGCTGCAGGTCATTATTCTGACAGATTGAGATTAAAACAAAAACTTTTTTTACAGTCAGTAGCTATTGCATTGCATTTTGCAGTTTAGTGTGTATGGCAGGATATTCTGTTGAAATACATCTCTTATCTGGGCCTCCACAAGCATAAAACGAAATTCAGCATGCTAAGTGCTCCATTTTTACATGTCATGCTTTTTCCCACTGCTTGAGCCTTTCACGTTTTTCACAGCAAGTAACAAATATCAGCAACAGCAGAAGGCTCTGGACACATCAGTCACACAGCTGTGGATGACAGGCGAGCAATGAAATACCGGAGTCTAACTGTGCTACCATAAAAAAAAGTAACAGTGAGTGCAGGCACACACAAAAAAAATTATTCAACCAGTCTCTAGTGGCATATGTATATGTGCATGTGAGAGAGAAATATTTGAACCCACACATGCCAGAGACAAGTTTTCAAACCGTTCTTGAGGTTTCCAAGTGAAATGAAGACATCACAGGCATTGCAATGAAACACTGACTTCCCTGTGGTGAGATGCTGCATCCCAATAAGTGCTGCAGCTGTGTGTGTAGAAAGTAGGAATTCAACATCATAACATAGTCAGACACCATCCATCCCAACTTATCATTTTCTTTAGACAGTTCCTGCACTCCTAGCATCCATAAATCTAGACAGTAGTAGAACAAATTCAAAATGTTAAGATTGAAAAAAAAACTCAGGATGTTTCCAAAAAAGTAAACATATTTCAACTAGGTCATACTTCATTGGAACAGATTTATTTTACATTCAATGTACTTTAGTACACCGAGCGATTTCATAAATTACTCATATTGCCAAAAGCAAAAACAATTTGCTACATGAAGAATACTAATATTGCCAGCAAAAAGCCAGACATTTGTTCTCCAGACTTTTTCTTTCTAATGTCATTTTCCCACACCAAGTGTACCTTTTGCACTCGACTAGTAAGAAGAATAATATATGAAGCATAAAACTTCTTGTGTGTGAAATCATGAGGCTTGAAAGTGTACATACATGTGGGTTCTTTAGGTTGTAATTTTTCTTTATGCGGCCTTTTACAGCACAACAACCACGTTCTGCAAACCCACATATTTTACTGCAGATTTGCAGAAAACAATCAGTACAGAGCAAAATGGCACTTAACTACCCTATCACAACATGATATGTAAAACTTAAACCTGTCATTACTTTTTATGTATCACGCTACCAATTTGTGTATATTCAACTCAGATAGGGTACACAAACATACAAAAGTACATTAAATAATGTATTACTCTAATCAAAAGTATAATTTAGAATGCAGAGGTACTGAATATAGTTGGATTAAAAAGCATCCTTAATGAAAAATTATTATATTGTACAGAAATATTGGCTAGCTTCCACGAACATTCCAGAAAGTGCATACATTTAAGAATAAGCACAGACTTTTCTTTTCGAAACACTCTTTAAAATGCAAATGGCTAAAAGCATATTTATGCAGCCAACATAGGTAGTTTCAATGCAATGCAATACGCAAACTTACATTATTCAAACTTACATGTTAGAACTAACAATGACAAATGCATGCGCCCATTCCTGTCACGTTGTAACACGTTGAAGTATTCTTTTTTTCCCGCAGCTATAGAGATGTGCAATGACTTGCCGAATGACGTTGTCAGTGCACAATCACCTGAATCATTTTCATCGCTGTTGGAAATTCATTTAGAGGCATTGCAATAAATCCTGTGCTATCTCTGCCGAAACAAAGGTTGAAACAGTGTCGGTATGACGATAGTTATAGCGCGAGAACAAAACGACGACACAGAGACAAGAAGGACACGAAAGTCTCTGTGTCGTCGTTTTGTTCTCGCGCTATAACTATCGTCATGCCATACCAACTAGCCCAAGCTGCCACACTTCTATGAAACAGTGTATCGCGCATGTGCTCGCACATTGCTACATGTGCTTAACCGCCTGCATCTGTATATCAATTTTACCATTGATGTTATCATGCTAAGTGGTTTTTTTTTAGTGAAACACATGTGCATTGTTCGTTTATTGCTTTATACTGTTATATCGTTATTTTTCTTTTCCTTTCATCTTCGCGATATGAAGTGTTATTTGCTCTGTACGCCCTCTCCTGTATAGGCCTGAAAAGGCCCACAGTATTGAATAAATAAATAAATATAATAAATTCCTGCCATTTGTTAAACACAAATAATGTAAAATTACAAGGTCAAGACAGTGTGTGCAGATGCTGAAGCCAATTTATAATGAACAGACTACATGCTTTCTGCAATGCATAGTCATTTTTGCATAGCATATTAATTAACCAGCAGATATTACTAAGTAATTAACTAAATTGACAGTGTTTACAATGGTTTTCCAAGGAATGAAGAAAAACACTTTAATGGAGAGCAAGCAACAACAAATACTTTTCATACAGAAGGCATCCAATTACTACCATCTTGTGGCATCAAATTGCCAGATATTAATAAAACAATATCAACTATCCACCAGATGCCAACGCCACCAAGTGTTAGCAGCTTTCCAACTGCTGTGCCTGTGTGGCCTAAACAAAAGCGGTCCATTCCCAAAAAGCCTAGCAGTATTGAATAAAGAAGCGCTGTGGTGAAGTAGTGCCCAGTGTACCTATAAACAAATAAAACAAACAAAACACCAATCTCAGCATGACACGGCATAAAAACAGGGCGAGGGAGGCACATTTTCAACACATTTACTGTTTCAAGACAGCTAAATATGAATAGTTTTTAATGTTTGAAATTATTATGGATAAAGTTCATTCATAAACACAACTCAATTACATGACGCAGGAAAGAATTGCGTCATGGCTAACACATGGCTTGTGCATAGGAGCACCAACAGAATAGTGCCTTAAAATTTGTCTGGTGATGCATGCGAGCTTGTGGGCAACAAAAACTTGAAAACTAAATACCAAGCGATTATAACAGCCCCGCTGGTGGCTCACCCAGCATGGTACAGTCGCACAGTGCTAGGGGCAAGCATTTATTATATTTTATTAAGCTTAAACTTCATCTTACTGTTGCAGGATTAGCTGTGGCATACGTCAGAGGACATCTAGGTGTTTGGTAAATGAAAAGCTTGCCACGTTGGCGGGCTGTTTATATTGGAGAAGTGAGCAAACGTGGCGGCCTGTGCGAGGAATAGCAGACTCGTCTTAAAGAATGTGCAGTATTTATTGTGCGTTGAAAGACATAGAACATATTGGTTCACTTTTATGGATGATGAAACTGAGGTTATTGTGTGTGGTGCATGCCATGTGAACAACATTGGCACTCGTTGTGGGCAAGTGACAGTGACAGGTTGTCGACGGAACATCAAGATTCAGAATTTTAGTCGAGGTAAAAATGCATTAGACGAGATCATCTACAAGTACGTACATCTCAGTGTTTGCGCTGCGTACAGAAAAAAAAGTGCACAATCTCTGGGCAGAAAGGTACGACTACGCAGGAGCTATTAGCAAGATCTAGCATTGCTGAAGCTGCACATGCACTTTGCCATGGCGAATACGCAAACTCAATAAAGGTGTAACTTGTATTATCGGTGACCTCACATGTCTTAATGGAAGCAGTGAAGATTTTTCTTTCTCATATTGGTATTTTTACGGCTCGATCTTTAGGAAGTAGCAATGCACAGTTTGTGTATCTGGGCTAAAGGAGCAAAGTAAGTATGCAAACACGTTGTAGGCATCAAGTGCAGCAAGGTAACAGTGCAAGATATTTCGTATATAATTAGGTTATCGGCTTTAAAATTGCTTAAATTTCTGTGGGTCATGAGGAACCTTGCAGGGCGAACTTCACTTTAAATTTGACAAGAATTTGTTTACCTAAGCTTAACGCATGTCAAAAAGTATTTCCTCTTACATAATTTTCTTTTTACTCATCTCCGATCAGAATTTTGCGCAGTGAGTGAAATCCTAATTATCTGTGACCTCGCGCACAGCAGCTCGAAACCATGTTGCCGCCAATGCTGTACCTCACCCTGCAGTGCACATGTTACGACAGAAATTGAGTATGTTCACATCTATGCCATGTAAATATTTCTCAAAGCACCAGTCACTATGAACATGCAGAACGTTCACTTTTGAAAAAGATAAGATTTTTTTATGCCTGCCATTTATGACAAGGAAATTGTGCATTATCAGCAGGCAGTGACCCTTCCTTTTAAAAGCTGTGACTTTAGAAAATAGCAGTTCGCAGAAACTTCCGTTGAAGGAATGCTGTCATAAACAACTCCAGTTTTTGGATCGTCCTCGGGCCCCATTTTCCAAGGAAGGGCGCTTTTGTGTTGGGGGACGACATCCCGTGACTAACGACCCAGCGTGGCGCCGGCTCGTCTTCCCCGCACCTGTACCGAAAGGGGCATGGGCGGTCTAAAAAAGAGAAATTACCCCCAAATGGGACGAGAGCACGTGTACGCCCATGAAAAAGTTTCGACTGCATCGGAATAGGCAGTTGACGTACAGCCAGCAAGAAGTGCGGTCATCGGTGTCGCGAGTATCGCGTAGGCGCGAGCATGGAGTGACCAGTGCAACATATTGAGACGGCTGCAATTCCGGGCACCCTCGTCGTCTACCAAGCCGGCGAGATCTTCAGCGACACCCCGTCAACTCCCCTACGTGCACCAAGAGATGGCGTGGTCCGTATGGAACTTTTTATTGTGACTTTTTTTTAAACTGTTAATTTATTATAACCAGCCCTTTTTTAAAAATATTTGTAGTGTGCGCTGCGCCGCACGTCAAAGCTCAGAAGCGTGAGCCTAAGTTTTTTTTTCTCTTTCTCTCGTAAATTTTCCTTGTCTCTCCTGTAGTTCCATCTTGTTGTTTTATTAATGTTCCGCATATTTGTCTTTAGTCTTATCTTTTGTAGTGTTTTTTAGCATATTTTGTTATATAGCTGTTCTTTCTATCGCGCGTATCAGTTTCCTCCTTTGTTATTTTTTGTTAACTCCTGCCTTTGCCCTTGTTTGAATTAAATGCTTGTTTGTGTGTAATCAAACTCCGTGTCTGCTCTATGAGCCCCTCGGTCAGGCCCCCACATCACCACACGTGCAACCCCACACGGGTTGACCAACCTGCGAATAAATTTGAAATGTGCCGCTTCGAGGCCTTTCAGGCGTCGTAGGCCGAAGCGTAAAGTGGAAGCCTGCGAATCTGCCGCACGTCTAAGTTAGATCGGCGGGGCCTCACCCGAAGTGTGTGACAAATGCAGACACTCACAGCGCTGTTATACAGAAAGATCTCGCCGGTGAAACTTTCTGCCAACCAGTACCTACTCTGAGGGATAGGATGGTGGGTGGGGCGCTTAGAATGACATCACACTGTTTGCACAGAGAGAGGTCAAATGCAGCTACATGTTGTGCTTCACCAGTAACTAACACCAAGCAGTTTCGCTGTAAAACTGCCAGTGTGCAACCAGTGTGTTGAGTTTGGCTGCTTCATAATTTTCCAAAATAAAAGCAGAATTCAATCTGGACTGCCACTAATACTTATTACGTGCAATGTCTGAATATAATGCAGTTTTCCCATAACTAAAGGTATTTGTTCTAAATATACAGGGCATGCAATTACGGACACAAGATGGGTCACCACAAACGTCTGTGGTGTCCCGACTTAGTTCTTGTGTCTGTGTTTGAATGCCCCCGTCTTTTTTTCGGAATGAATACACACCAACTAGCTCGGCTGTTTTTTACACTAAAGGTATAAAAACTGTCAGGGGCAGAAAATCATTTCACACCCTCTGTATTATCAGGTTGCCTGGGCTTTTCGATTATGTACTCAAATTTCATAGTTGCCAAAATGTTGCAGCCTATATAGCCCCACTATTAAGTCAGGTAGCATCCCTTGGCATAGGTCTTGCACAAAAATAAATGTGTCATGTGTAAATAATTACATGTTTAAATATGAGGAATGCAATTTTCAAAAGCCCTGTTGCATGTGGACACAAAGATCAGCAGATGTAGCAGCAGAAGTAGCACTGCAACATACAAGCGTCAAAAAGCTCAAAGAACAGCTTAATTATGTAATCGACCAGTTTCAGCCTGAAAATGTTGATTGAATAATGCAACCCATTAAAGAAATGTTGGCACAGCTCACTGAAAAACCATCTTTTTTTTTTCCCCCAGCATGGAGGCAGTAGCTGATATAGCTGACACACTGGTGTGCACGAGAGGCACAGTTTTTGAGTTAACGAAGCGAGGCTAGAAATTATTAGAAAACTGTCTGACTTACTTAATACACGGAAAGCCGTCTTTTAAAAAAGTGCGGTTGCCGTAACACTCAATATTTGGCAGAACAGAACAGTTGACTGCAGTAAACTGGACGTCCTCGTACTTTGATCCTCCAAACTGCACAAAGAAAGGGTCAGTAAATTGCACGGCAGACACCAAAAAGCGACCATACTCGCGAACACAATGCAGGTAAGGCGAGTTAAGTAACAATGACACTGAAAAGCTACAGGAACAGAGAGGTGACAGGCAAAGCACTGACGTAAAGTAGCCAGCTGTTTTCAGTCAAAAAAACAAAACAAACATAGGAGGTTGGTGGCCGGTCGCGTACCTTGGTGCAGCCGTAGCCCAGCTCTTCCCGCGCAGTTTCATTTCCTTGGAGGTCCAAAATATCCGAGCACTGTAGGAAATCTAATGGCCTGGGGAATGCAAGGTTTACATATTAAAGAAAAAAAAAAAACTTGTCATCTACACGGTTCCAGTGACACTACTTATTGACTGCATAGTGCAAGTGCCGTTGTACAAGTAATCTCTCAAGACACTGCTTTCTTCGTGAAACAACAACGAAATAAGCTTACAAGTTTTTGCAGAGGACCAGTGGTCCGTGAGGCTTGTACTCACAATCGTCTAACGTACTACAGTGCGTGTTTTCATGATATATGCAGAGTACACATTTCGTGCAAACTGTCAATATTATATAAGAGAACAAAAAACAAAACATTATTCCGCTACATAGCGCCGATATCATATATTTTATCACTTGCAGCAGGCTTAGATCAGCTGAACGTTGGCTCAACTTGGCTTCGTTTTTGTCACAATCATGTTGGCTCATGTCCTGTCGTCTAATAAAAACAAAAAACAATGTTACTGAAAATAAACGGCAATAATGCAGAACAAAAATACAAGTAGTCCTACATGAGATTTAGTACTAATAAGGGTAAATGTGTTCTCGCGGCTTGGCTTAATGTTTATGTCACGTTGCTTGCTGTGTCAACGCGTTGGCTGTGTGTTCTCTGGCTTGGTCGGTTTCATGGTCTGCTAGCTTATTCGCTACGTCGGGCTAGAGTTGGGCGTGCGGTCAGCGTGATCGGTGCAAATGTGCTAACTGGCGTGCTACTGCAGTTGCTAATGTAGTCTCTTGGACGCTTTATGGACTGTAGAAGCGTCCGAAGTGCAGTCGTGAATATGCGACTTTAAGCCCAGTGATTTTAGTTGTGCCATATTCATATTGTGTTTTTGATAAAATGGATGTGACCTCGTTATTTAAGGCATGTGTGAAGACTTTGCGAACTCGCAATAAAGCACTCGGCTTGTTTAAAGATGCTGGCAAAAATTCTATACTGAAACCAAGGCAGCCGCCCTCTGATTTCAACTACCGGGTTAGAGAAATTGTAAGTTGGACGTTGAAAATGTTTTGTCCGTCTGACGCAGCTTGCCATGTGTCTTTTCTTTCTACTTGGTGCTGAATGGTAATTAAGCTTCTTGTAATTTATACGTGTCGCTACCTCTGGCCTCTGACAGAATTCCAACATCTCGAAGATGAAAAACTTCCTCAGGGAGCACAGAGATGACTACATAAACGCAACGTAAGGGTTTTTACTGACACTACTAGGGAGGTGTTACAAGTTGACATACTTGTCTGATGTACGATACAATACGAGCATGAGCCACCTGCGTGGACAAACTATATAAATATATATATATATACATTTCTTTCCGTAGCCAGGTGATGTACAGCACGTCGTGGATGACAGACGCCGAGAGAGACAGAATTGACAAGGAGGTTCAGCAGTTCGTCTTCCAGTGTCGGGAGGTGCTGAAAAACTTGCGGAAGGAAGGTAAATTCATGCTAAGATTAGGAGGCTAGATAGTTTCCAAAAAGTCCCGCTGATCCCCTCCTCCCCCCAAAAAGAGAAAAGAAAATTGAAAAGACTATATTATAAGTCTTTCCTTAATGTGTTGTACGCAGGATGACCGACATTCTCGTTCAGCATGTTTAGATCATAAAGTCGCAATGCTGTTTCCTGAGCTGCAAAACTTTACGTGTTTGAGAAGGCTCTCTCTCACGAAAGCAAAAGCACAGTTGAGATAATTTTGTACGTATTTCTGATGAGCCCAACTCAGCTGGGAACAGTTTATTTCTTTCAGTTTGATTCTTTTTAAAAATTTATCATCATGTAAAGTTTCGTCAAGTACAATGGAATGGAAAAGCACCTCTGTGTATTATTTGAGGGTGTAAAGTTATGAGGACGCATGCAATCAGAATAATATATCCACAAACCCACAAAATTGCTCAACAGGTCTGGGCAAACATCTAGTAGGCACACATAAACAATGTTCAGCTAGGAGCAATCCCAGAAACATTGTACATCCAGATGCAGTCTTTAGTGTATGCAAAGTTCTCTGCAGAGTGCTCTGAAGTTTGCAAAGGTTTATGTGAATGCCCCTTAAAAACATTAAGAAGGCCCTCTGTCAGCTATTGCATTTATTGCATAGAAATGTGCACAATACAGCAGTTGTTACTCAATATAAAGACAGCCTTTCATGAATTCACTGTCCTAAGAAGCATTAATTATAAGGCAAGAGGGAAGGGGGCTTTTGCTTGTGACTTTGCTGGCAAAAAGCCACTATTTATCATTCATTTTTCATATGGCATAGCTGGTGTAGATATGAGAAAAAATATTTTTTGAAGTACAATCACAGCATCTGTTTGATGTCTGTAGAGAAAGATGCAATATATGAACACAGAAGCAGAAGACTTGAATTAAAGCAGCACTTTCATATTAATTTTCGCAAGGCTTTAATGTCGAATCATGGCTGCACTTCTATATGGCCATTGTGCAAGCTTGGAAGAGCACAGTGAACTCAAAGAAGCAAAGTGCAGGTGTGAATAAAATGAACCGTGCTTGTCTGACAACCCAATGGCATTCCTGGCCTGCATTTTTCCATAAGACATAATTAATCGCGAAGCATTTCTTAGTGAGCCAAATCAGTTTATCCGACCATCCATCCGCCTACATATAGACACAATTATGTTCGTTTCCTTAACTCTGTACATACATGCTTAAATTGGCATAGGTTGACATGAATGCATGACTAACATGATTTGCCAAATGAGCATAGTTTTTAACAGCGCAAAAAAAAAAACAAAAAAAAACACGGGACACAGATGAAAAATACCACACAGTCAGGGGCGCCAGACTCTCAACCAATTTTATTCACGCCAACTCACATATATACAGGCACGTGGTCCAAAAAACATGTCATGTCAAACAGCACGTAAGGTTTGTCATAAATTCCTATTCAAATAAGATATCTCCTTTTGTTCCAGGGCGATAGATGAAACGCTGATACACGAGTCAGAAATGTGCAGTCTCGATTATTGTACTCCTGGCGATGATGCTAGTTTTTTCAAATTGAGGGATGCACCCACACTCCTTGTAGTGTGCGCCTACATGTGAAAGAGCATCGGTGCGACAATTAGCCTTGTGTTCCCATAATCTCAGATTGACACACCTACCGGTTTGTCCCATGTATATAGCATCACAAGAAAAAGGAAACCGTACACAATCCCTGTGGTGTAGTCGACAGCTTTTGAACAGTGCCTGACGCCGCACCCTGCAGTCTTTTTCTCATTGCTTGCTTTCACTTTTTTGTTTACATGTGCGCAAATTTATTGCAGGTTATTAGATACTGAAAAAAGCACCCCAACACCAAATCGGCTAGCCACGTTTTTCAATCCATGCGACATCCTATGCACATAGAGCACTACAGTTGTTTTCTTGTTATCTTCCAGATTATTGTTTTTCTTGTCTCTGTTCCCTTCATTCTTTAGTGATATTATTAACTTTTCATACACTCTGTTTTCTACATGTTCAGGGTAGCCAGTGCGCACCAGCTGACCTATATCTCTGGAAACGTTTTCCTTTACCCTATAACGGCATGTCTTCTGGAGGGCAGCCCTCAAGCAAGAAGAGGCTATGCCATCCTTAACTATTTTGGAGTGGGCTGATGAGTAGTTTAGAAGGCCTTTTTCGGATCGTCGCCAATATTCCCAACAAAGATGTTCAGGTATCACAAAATTAGCCAGATAGAAAAAATCTTAATTCTTGCTGCTCCGAAACCTTGTGTATGAACTCGAAGCCCATAACTTCCTGCTTGAACAGCACTAGAATTGCATTCATTGAGATTGGGCATCGACTTTCATCTATGAGAACCAAATAATCATCTATGTAGCAGAAGATCCTAATGTCCTGACCTTCAATACACTGCTCAGTACTGTCATCTACACAATCTAGAAAAACATTGCTAAGAAGTGGGGCGATCCTAGACCCTATACAGACACCTTCTTTTGGTATAAACCATTTGGCTTCAAAACCAATAACAGTAGATTTCAAATAGTATGTTCAAACTTCCAAGAAAGATGCCACAAAAATGCCACAATTGCTATAAAATTGAATTCATCATCATAAAACTCAATGCATCTTTTTATGCATGCCATCAATCGCTCCTGTGGTATTGAATAATACAAATCTTGCACCTCCACACTAAACGTGGTGTATCGGCCTGGTTCACAGTTCCATTGGTGATCGACCACGTCTTCCGGATTCGGTATCAAGAAAGGATCTGGGACTACCAGGTTTCTTAGGAAATTCTGAAGGTACTTCGAAACAAGCAGCTGCCAAGAACCCTTCTCAGAAACAATGGTCCGAAACGGCATCCCTTCCTTGTGGGTCTTGACTGTAAAAAACACTTCCAACACCAGGTGTTTTTCTCCCTTCACACTCGAGGCTAATTTTTCTAGACGACTATTCTTCAAAAGTTTAACAGCTTCTCTTTTAACCTTCTCTAATTTAACTTTTACGGTTTTGAAGTTTTTGTTGACAGCTGCCATTGCTTTTTCCGAAAACATCTGTACAGGAAGGACAACGAAGGAGCCCTCCTTGTCAGCTACTAAGGTCCTAAGGCAGTGGTCTACCAGATAGTTAACCATCTGTTTCGTATTGACACGTTTCTTATGGTGCTTATCTGAGTTACGCAGTACATCAACACATGCATCTATGAAACGGCTCTTAACTTCATCAGGTACAACTCTGGCGACTGACCTTACACGCAACAGACAACGTAGGTTCCATGGTGAACTTAGGTCCCTTATGATGGTGCTCAGGGTCGACGGGCTTCCAGGACCGATTAGAGATGGGCTGGAAGACGTGCTGTTATAGTTCGCATTTTTGGTTGGAATTTTTGGTGTAGCAGTCAAATGTTGACAAAAGTGCTGCAATAAATAACAGCCTGTGACCACGCAGTACAGACCATAAATAAATTCATCATAAAACTTCTGCTCGAGTAATTGACTCAGGAAAACAAATGAGGCAGGATGAAGCACTGCACATTGTTCTGTCTCATAAAATTCCCAACCATTTCTGTATGCCTGTATAGACTGTCCTGACTATATACACTAACGTAAATTGATGTACAGTTGAACCCACAGAAATCGAACTTGCTAAAAAAAAGGAAGTTTGTTTAATTTGTTAATGTTTATTTGTTATGTGGAAGTTTGTTAATGTTGTACAATTTGATATAAAACCTTAAAACAATTGTTTTTGTATCTTCTTTGTGAATTCGGTGTGCGAGCATGCTTCACAATAATGCAAAGCATGTGGCATTGAGCAAAACATGGGAATATTTTTTTTGTTTTTAGTTCTTATTTTCGTAGTTTCTAGTCGGTGGGGGGGGGGGGGGAAGGTATATGCAGGGGTGCCTTGTAAACAGGAAAATGCAGTATTGATGCGGCCCTCCTAATCGCACCACTCACTATCCCAAATGCCTGCAGGAAAGGCCCTTCCTTGAGAAAAAGCCAACTTTGTGTGAAAGTCAAGTTCTTGGGGCGTTTAACACTACCTGAATGTTTGATATGTCAAGTGTTCTGGCTATATTTGTTCAGTGTAGCCATACATTTTTCTATGTATTGGCATTTAAGCAATGTCGTGTTGAAAAATAGTTGGATATAAAAGAATAATTCAATTTAGCCGAGTTCAATCGTCTTTGAATGTACTATGTAAACATTTGCCTAATATTGGTTCTTACAGTGGTGCTAATCTTATGTCTGTTGATGTTGTAGTGCTGCCCATCTATGTTATAATAATGTCATAAGTGTAACGTGTATTCCAACGACTTGGCAAGCTCTAGTCTTTCGTTGCCCGTCACCTCAAAAATGTGCCTTTGAACACTGCTTACACTTCGTTTTGGTAAAGCTAACACTTATCCGCTGTCTGTGCCATGGTGCGAGTGAAGGCATTACATTGGGTCATAAGCCACACTTTACATCTCAGTATGCTTGACGTGCCGAATAAGCCTGAAATATACACACAAAAATGAAATTTACAAAAAGACATCGATCCGTTGTGTAAGATGTAGCTCAAAGCCAGCACATGCTCTATGCAAAGCTACTTGCCGACTGTTTTGCAAGAAATGCCACTTTTGATAACCATAATGCACATAAAACAGCACTCGATTCCCACAGTGCATGGAATCTGTTGGAATATTTTGCAGTACCAGTGTTGTAATGCCTTAGATTCACTGTTTTATTTCAGGGATGTTACTTGTGTTTTAATTAAAGTATAGTCCCAGCCTAAAACAATATTCATTGTCGCATCTCATGCAGTAAGAAACCAAGCACTGACGCCACAGCAGCTGGAACATCACGAAGGGGTCATCTGTTTGTTAGAGGATCATTTGAGAAGTGAGTATAGCATAACTGGTACTGATTTAGTCAAAACTGTTGGTGTCTTAGTTAACAGTGATCTGGTGTGCAGTATCAACAAAAGTTTATGAAATAAGTTTTATTCTTTCACTGGGGGGCTACATCAAAAATGAAAATCTGTTTGTTCTCAAATCTACTGCTGAAACTAGTGGTAACATGACTGCTTAAAGATGGGTTTCTGATGTTTATTATATGGTTAGGCTGACCACATAAAAGGGCATTGGACCATAAAAAGTGCATGAGAGCATCTTTTCTGTACTAATTATCTGTGCAGGTTCATCACATTGCTCAGCAACTATTAGCCACTCAGCTGTTACATGCGTATATACTGGGTGTTTTTTCGAAGACTAATGTCTAAAAGTAGGTGTTTTAAAATAAAAATTGTGGTTCCTTTTGAGGTTGTACACTAGTTGTATCAACCATGAGGGGATGTTCTATAAAAGAAATAAACAATCGTCACTGAATGAGTATAAACTACTCTAAGTAGTGATGTGAATATCAAAGTGACATATAGGAGATTTTCTTAATTCGCAAGTGCACTTCTCTGCCATAGAGTTTGTCCGACTAATGGAAGCTAACCTCTTACTTAAAGCACTGTATTTGAGCACAGATTGCTTGCGCTATGACATGGAAAATATTGACTCTGCTGTTTTGGTATAGACATGGTTAATAGAAAAACCCCAGCACGTGCAACTAGGACCTCGTCTCCACTTGAAGCACCACCAGTGCCGCCATTAGTAGGGAAAATATGCATCACAGAGAAGCATACCTGCAGATTAGGAAAATCTCCTATTAATGTCACTTTTATATTCACATAACAAAACACTTAGCAAAACTTGTTCAATCCAGTAGCCTGGTTCACTAGAGAAGGGAACAGTTATATGACTTACCCATTGAATTCTTCAAGCTGTTACAGCTGTGACAAAGGACAAGAAAACTAGGTACAGAGATTAAAAAAACACATGATTCAGTTACACAGAGAATATCAGACAAAATAGCCATTTATCCTATGGTAACACTTATCCACTGTATATAAACACACTCCACGACCATGGAAAAATTGTGTGCTGCTTTCTCATAAGTCGCTTTGGCATTCAAAATGACAGTGCCATGATGCTCTGCGATTGTTCAATTCTACTTATCTGTGGCAAATGGTAAATTGAAGCATTTATTCACTACAGCTTTTCACTGCATGCAGGCAACGGAAAGGTGCTTACAGGAGAGGGTTACCATGCTTTATTATTCTGGGTACTGTATTGGCAACACTGAATACGGGAACAGGGTCTAGTGGAAGTGCATCTATCAGTTCAAGCAGTTCTTTTAGGGGCGAAGCTCCTTAGGGCGTGGGCTGTGCGTCCCCTGTATGTAGCCACCTCTCGTTTAGTTCTTGCAGTGTTCACTAGATGGCGGTAGCGTCCCTTGTATGTAGCCACCTCTCGTTTAGTTCTTGCAGTGTTCACTAGATGGCGGTACTTGTATTTGATGATGAAAAGATGCAAGATGTTATAAACAAGACGGCGGCACTTGTAGTTGATGATGAAAGATGCGAGATGTTATAAAATAGGAATGATGTCACATATGGCAGGTGTCATTGGTGGAAGGCAATCGTTCGATTTAGTGCAGCGACGTACGCTAGGGGGGAGCATTGTAATAAAATCGAGTGGGCAAAACATGTATGAAAGATTCATGGTTTACCAGGTTTTCCTCCAGAGCTTCGCCCACTCATCATCATTCACTTCGTGGATATGGCGGCATTTTTTTTATTATCCTTCTGGTTTAGAAATGTCAATTCTTATTATCTCCTTTTGTAATGACTAATAGACTGCAAATAAATTTTCTATGCACCGCCTAAAATGGAGTAGCTCAAATGACTATTCATGAGTGTGAACTATAGGATGTGCAAAACCTTGGCACTAAAGCATTCACAGGCTTTTAGAAATGTGTGGCAATCATATTATTAGCTTTGAACATGTCCTATCTATATGCTATGGCCTGTTTGCATCTGGGTGAAACAGGACTCCTAGACACTTACACAAGGCTACTCGCTGCAACAGTGTGGCCACTAAAAACAAGTTAAGCACACCAAAATTGAGCTGTTTAACCATCTATTTAGTTTTGTCAGTATTAATATTTACGTGGTTTCGTTCGCACCATGATTGAACTCTCTGTAGTGCCTTGTTAATATGATCTTCAATCTTACCTAAGCTGTCACCAGCAAAGGTTAGTGTCATATCATTTGCGTACGTTAAAGGGGCCCTGAAACACTTTATCAACTCACCAGGAATGGAGCTTATTGCCTCATGAATTCAATGCCGCAAAAATTTTGAGAATCCGTTCAGTACGAGTGGAGTTACAAAGATTTGTCGCATGCTGCATTCGCATTCCTTCTTCTCTCTTCCTGATAAAACCGCTAAGCAGGAGGGGGTGGCGTGGGCAAAAAAAAATATGTCCCACGCTTTGTGACCTCGACCACTTTTTTCTTTTTCTTCGAATACATGGCTTTTTCAGTGTGGTCGTACGCGCACGTGTGGACAAGTCGTGGCCTCCCAGCGACCCCTGTAACGACAGAGTGCACCATGTTGAAATCAGCCAATGGCTGATAGAAGGCCTTCTACGAGTGATTTTTGAGCCTACTCAGTCATTTATCGAGAGAAGAGAAAGCAGTTTTTAGCTAACTTTTATAATTGCTATACCACTTGCTATACCAGATGATCCCTTGTATAAATCCCCTAGCAGCCTTCGTGAATCAGCATGGTCAACAGCCTTATAGTATATTACACAGTCATCTGCAAACAGAGTAATTGATCATAATCTCACACTGTGAGGTAGATCATTAACATAAGTTTCCCAGGTGCAAGACGGATCGTTGTGGTACTTCAAATGTTACTGGTGACAGAGTAGATGAGTACTAGTTATTGAGTGTATTGAAGAAGTCCCATGTATAGAGTGCTATTGGAAAGAAACTCCTTAATGCAAGACAGCACAGTGGGATCAGTATTAAGCTGATTAAGTTTGTAGATATGTAGATGACATGCAGAATTGAAGCAGTAAAATAAAAAAAAGTTCAAAACAAATCATTGATCTAAGATGCGAAGGAGTCATAAGTCAAACAATAAACTTGCATGTCACACAAAAATGTTTTTTCTAAAATTGTGCTGACATGGATAAAGGAAGGAATCACCTTCCTAAAACTTGGAAGGTGAAAAAAAAAAACAAAAAACATTCCATGGTCTAAAAGGTGTGGGCTCAGAACCAACTGAAGCCCTCATAAAAAACACGAAGGCAGAACAAGAAAATACATCTTTACTGCCTAGAGTCTGGGCTCAACTGAACGCTGCCGTTTCATTGTGAGTGCATGCCCCCGAGCTTTTTATCTTCTTTGCACACACCAGTGATCTAAGTAAGTTTGAATGAGATGCTAGACTCTGAACTGGGGCTGTAGGACACTGTGAATTATAAAATTTATAATGTGGAGCCACCTTTGCCCTTTTCTGCTGTTAGGAAAGGGTGAATGCTGTAAATAGTTTAGATAGAGAGCAGTTGACAATACTGCAGTAAACATAGATGTTTTTGTAAGTTCCAACTAAGCTATCAGATGAATAAGGCAAGGAATGCATAGGGTAAGTAGTTTCTGTTTTAATTGAAATGTAAAAGTGGCATGTTGAATCAAAATGTAAGTTGACTACGTATTCTTCCAGGTGCTTGTAGGATGTACTCTGAGCAAAAGGCCATACGTGTGAAGCGAGCATATGACAAGCAGAAGATGTAAGTTTGCTGCTCTATGTGCATTTTGACCCATGTATGTGAATGTTGTATTTCTGCATTAGTGCTTCTACCACAGAGAGAATTCGTCTCAATTCCGTGCAGCTTGTGGGGGTCTCGAATTGGCGAGCGCCACACCATGCTCTTGGAGTGAACGGACACAGCAGACGCGGTCAGTACAAACCAAAGAACACATACATTTATTTAACTATTTTTGAACTACGATATTGTCTGCCAAATTGATACATCAAATGTAATTAACCTGCTAGGACATCCGCACGCATTACCATACACTCCATGACAAACACAATAACACGGCAAACACACAATAACATGATAAACATAATAATACAGCCAAGATGGCATCGCCAACGCTTGACTTACTACAAGGGTCCCCTGGCGCGCAGGCCGCGGTACCACGCGCCGAGGAGCCACGCTAAAGACAACCGTTCGCGGCAACTGCCACGCGCAGAAGAGAGGCGCTCTACTCTCGCCCGTCACCAAGGCTTGCTTTCCGCCAGGGGTTACCGCCGGCGCTGCCACTGTAACAACCATGATGATGATACTGGTGCTCAACACGAATACAACGCCACCTACTGCCCGATGGTTGTCACTCCGAAATGCGGCTTTAGGCGAGACAAGTGTGCCACACGGTGCAAACAACTTTACAGGGGGTGTCCGCACCCCCATTTCCCTTCAACCTTAAATCAAACCATATCCCGAAAACAAAGAGATCAGCTACACAAGCTTTAACAAAAAAAAAATGACATCACATGTTTCTTCATGATGTCCTTACACCACGACACCGCCGCCGGTCGACACTGCTGCATTGTCCGGCTCGACTTCACCTCAGTACTGGTCCCGCAAAAGCAACCTTGCCGTCGGCGTGACGAACCGTCACTAGCACTGACACGTCTGCCAGTAGCGACCAGCACTCACGAGGGTGCCGGACTGCAGACAGTTGCGCAGGTACCAGGCATCTCTTATCGCCCGTCGAACCGCAATACAAGACAGCAACGACGCCCGGCTCCCTGATCCCATAGAGATAGAAGAAGCTATTTACAGAAAATCAGACCAGCTATGAGGCTTTCCTACACAGTTGCTTCAGGCCTAGCCTGCAAACCACGTGCTCTAGTCTTGCTCACCCCAGGATGGAGACCGCATGGCTCTCATCCCAATTCAACAACGGTTTTAAAAACTAACACCAACAAAAAAGAACAACACTTGCGAAGAAAAAAAAATAAAAACTCTACCTGCCGACAAATTCAAACACGTTACGAACTGATCTCCTCGCTTCTCAACAGAGCACACTGTCAACGCTAGCAAAGAAGTCCCCCTAGGCCTACTCTACCCCGGCTCTAATAAAAGCTTGTACCAAACCACAAAAACTGTCGTCCCATACTCCAAGAGCACCACGTTAGGCGCCAGTGTGGGGGTCTCGAATTGGCGAGTGCCACACCACGTTCTTGGAGTGAACGGACACAGCAGACGCGGTCAATACAAAGCAAAGAACACATACATTTATTTAACTACTTTTTAACTACGATATCGTCCGCCGAACCGATACATCAATTGTAATTAACATGCTAGGACATCCGCATGCATTACCATACACTCCATGACAAGCACAATAACACTACAAACACACAATAACATGATAAACACATTAACAAACCCAAGGCGGCGTCACCCATGCTTGACTTACCACGAGGGTCTCCCGGTGCTCAGGCCGCAGTACCACACGCCGAGGACCCACGCTAGAGACAACCGTTCGCAGCAACCGCCACGCGCAAAAGGGACTCGCTCCACTCTCGTCCGCCACCAAGGCTTGCTTTCCGCCAGGGGTCGCTGCTGGCGCTACCACTGTAACAACCATGATGATGATAGTGGTGCTCAACGCGAATACAACGCCACCTACCGCCTGGTGGTTGTCACCCTGAAATGCGGCTTTGGGCGAGACACGTGCGCCACACGGCGCGAACAACTTTACAGAGGGTGTCCGCACTCCCACAAGCTTTGTCACTCATTTTTTATGGAGCATTTGACAGAGAGGCTAAAACTGCCCTTTTGTGTCAGGCGTATTGACTTGTCAAAGCGTTGTACGAGGAAGACACGGCATGGCACCTGTACTGTGTGTTCGTTACTGTGTCTCGTTTTCCTCGTGCTGCACTTCGACATGAACATATATGAACTCGCCCAGTACTCTAATTTACTTCAGGCATGATGGCACAAATCTTTTTTCTTGGGAGAGGGGAGGGGGGAGTTTGATCTTCCTTTCTGTGTTTGTATGTGTGCATGTAATATGCAAACAAAATAAAAAAAGTTTTGTGGGGAGAGAAAGGGGAAAGTAAACCTTCCAAGGCCCCCAATCACTAGGGCACCGCAGTCTATATTTGGCAGGGCCAGCTTCCTAAATGAAAAAAAAAAATACTAATCAATTTGTGTAGCTAGGCAGCACTTCGTGTATGTGTGGGTAGTAGTTACCTGGGGCTGGCATTTTTCTCAAATGGTTGCATGTTTTAGTGCCAAAAGATAAAAGTAAAAGCCTACAAATTCTGTGTTCTAATATATATTGAAATTAGTTGCATATAAAACGTATCCTATGCAAATGCCAACATCAGTACATGGCTTTTCGATGACAAAAACTCAGACCTCTTTGTGATGCTCTGGCTAGCTCAGAACTACTCGAAAACCAAGTTTAGACCATCTAGCAGGCCTGGGAAGTGGCAGAAAGGCTAAACCTTACCGTTACCACCTGGGGGGGGGGGGGGTATAGGTCAGGCTGCCAATCTGTAGGTATTGAATAAAGTTTTGTCTCCTCCACTCTATTGCTGACAGCCCCCTTGCATGCACACAGACAATTTTGTGTTTTGTAATTAAATTGTTACTTAGGATTATTTAACTAACTAGCTAAATATCAACTTAGACAAGAAAGGGGACTTGCCAAGTTCAAGAACGTCTTCAGAAACACTATTTGCATTATTTGAGATAAAGAAAGTCTTGTCTTGATACAGCTCACACGAGATGATGGCGAAGAAAAAGAAACACAGATAAGCACTGGGTGTGCTCTCCTGTGCGCTGTATAAACCAAGATTAATGCGTACCAACTCACTCAAGCTTCCATTCTTATGAAGTAGTTGCTACATGTATCATTTTTTCCAAGCTGTAAAGAAACCCCACAAAATACAACAAAAGACCAAATGACTAGCACATTTGCACGCTGCGAACGTAAAGCTCTCAGCTGTCGTTTGAGCAATGAAATCAGCTGCAGCCATGATTGCCGTATTCATTGCAGTGCTAGGCTGATAAGTTGGTGGAGGTTGCTTGGCCTGTTGCCAGCCAGTTGGCACACATTACACTGCGACTTGTAGCCGTGCAGGCCAAGAAATCACCGCCGGCTTCAGCTTACCTCTGCAATGGATATATATATATATATATATATATATATATATATATATATATATATATATATATATATATATATATATATAGAATGAAAGACACAGAAAGACTTCACCAGGCAGGACCAGCAGGAGGGTTTATTCCGCGATGATTGGTTAAGTACAAGTGAGAACGATGAAGTACAATAAACGTGTTTAATTATATATATATAAATAAATAAATAAATAAATATATATATATATATATATATATATATATATATATATATATATATATATATATATATATATATATATATATATATATATATATATATATAAACATAACTCGGCACTGTTTCAAGGGCCCCATCCCTTGAAGCAGTGCGGCCGCGCGCCAACGAACACCTTTTTTTTTTTCTCCCTTTTTCCGCGGCCTGCGCACCGGGATACCTTCGTGGTAAGAAAATTTTTTTCTCCCTTAAAACAAAACCTACTCTTCTGAAACTTTCTGCTTATCTTAGTGATGTAATCTACTATGCAATAGTATAAGAGCCAAACTTTTAATTTGGCCACTACATTGCGAAAATTGAGCTGCAATATGGGTGAAAATGCTGTTTTGTCCAACTTTACCACAATGTTTGGGCAATATTTTTCCTTCATTTGCTCCCGAGGTATTTCAATCATTGAATATATGAGTATATAAAGCAGATTTTGTAAAAATATTTCTGGCAAAAAGATTTGTGCTTTTTATAGAATATGGTAAACATGCAACATATTGCAATTTTTCACTCAAGCGAAAAATAAAGAAAATTAAAACTCATATGAATAAACTGTCACAGTCATTAAAGTGTAGCACCTTGAGATCAATACAAAAATTGTTTCGCATTAAGCACTCGAACCAATATTATTATATAAATTATTTGACGTGACACAGTTTCACTTGGGTGCCCAAAGTTTGAAGCGCCCTTTAAGCAATACAAGAGCTTTTTGCAAAATATAACGCCTCAATAACTACTTCTCGTATTCACATACACCTGCACAATTTTTTTCAGCACGATCATCAGAGATGGCCAATATATATATATTTATATATATATATATACTGTATATACTTGCATAATGATCTCACTTTTTTTTTTTCAAGAAAATTGACTCCAACTTCGGAATGCGATCATTACGCGGGGTAAATTTTCTATGAAAAAATGTTCCGAGCACCGAAAATGCACAAAAGTCGCTAATCAGAATTCTTACGATAGCTATCATGAACATAACCAAAAATAAAAGTAAGTTAAGGCTTACATTTGTAATAAAATGCACGCATTACGCAGGAGCTACATGCATGGCACACTGCACTTTTATTTTTTACCTCTCTGACCCCCTAACATTCATTCAGACGCTGAAGCGTCACTGGCGTCAGTGTCGGGACCAGCAGTGTCTTTGTCCCACAGAGGGCCATCTTCCGTTTCATTGAGCACGTTGGAAATGCCAGTGACAGTCCATTCCGCCGCATGAAGCGTGTCGTCCAGCCGGAACTGGCGCGGAAGTCCTTTGTGGCTATTCCTAGTCTCCAGGAAACTGTGCACGCCTGCGTCCGTATCATGTCTAATGACACTGCATAACCGTCCTTACACATGTCCTTCACGTATTCGAAGACTGCCTTTTTAATGTCAGCGAACTTGCCAGATTTGGGTCCACGGAAAACCCGTCGCGTGCTGTTAGTAGCCATGAGCTTGTCGCGCTGTTTTTTCCAATATTGGATCCGGATTTCATCGATGTCGAAATGTCTGCCGGCTGCACGGTGGCTGTGTTCTAGCGCCTAGTCAAGCGCCTTCAGCTTGAACGCGGCAGTAAAGCTCGCATACCGCCCCATGGTGAAACGGTGCTTCAACAGACGATCACAAAGCACAGAAAAAAAAGTGGTCTCAGGAAAAAAAAAAAACATTGCTGCGGAATGAACACAGGTCGACCAACAGGCGGCCGCCGCTGTAACAGTGCCGGGTGTCAAAACAAACATGGTGGCTGACTGAGCAAAGTGACCGCATTTTTTTTCTTCTTTTCTTCAGTTATGAAGTTTGTGAGTACGGCACGTGCGTGAAAACAGTTTTTTCCATCTAAATAAGGAATGCTTTCATTTAAATCAGTAAGTTTACGGCATTAGCATAGTTTTGAAGAGTTATTAATGCAACATTCGACAGATAATAAAGGCGATGATCATCGGCTAGACTTGAACACAACATAACGATGCGGCAAGTTCAGAGTGTGATCATTACGAGGGGGGAAATAACGAACTTAGAAGACAAAATTTAGGGGTGCGATCTTTACACGAGTAAACACGGTGTGTGTTTGTGTGTGTGTGTGTGTGTGTGTGTATACACACACACACAATAAGAAAAAAAAAATGGGTGAAAAAATAACTTGCCATGAGCAGTTATTTGTATCCTGCCCACGGCAAGTTATTTTTTCACCCACTATTCTTCCTTCTTAATGACATTACATTGGCTCTAATAACTTCCCCTATACATTCCTTGGCATTATTTTCTGTTAGATCTCATTAATATTGTGTCAAAAAACAAGCCCATAGGTATACGCTTCTTTCCACACACACACATATATATATATATATATATATATATATATATATATATATATATATATATCTGGCTGAAACGTCGAAATAAACCATGTTGTGACTGCTCACGGAGGATCTACTTGACTACTTGCAACGCCACGGCCACTCCATCACCACGCCTGCCTAGATATATATATTCAAACATACAAACATGATCATGTATGCAACAAAGGGGTTGAACCCTTTTATAACAAATTCACAGATACACCTCTGATCTTTAGTGTGGAGCACTTCCGACAGCCGCCTTGTCCATCATCTAATATTTCTTGGTCACATTGTTTTCACTACAGGCCTAAAACAAGGCTCACATTGCTTGAAACAAGTGTAAAACAAATTAATAAAATCTAAAAATAATATAAACTACAGATATGAGAAAAAAATTAATCTCAGTTATTTACCTAAAATTGTGAGAAAGACATCTGAAGCACCTGGCTGTTACCTGCACCGTTCAAGATAGTACCACCACCACCACCACCACCACCTCGGAAGGCGTGTGATTGTCAAGGAAATCACTGAATTGTCGGTGCTACATACTTTCCCAGGTTTCATGGTAATTAAGCTGCATTAAGCGGGGAATTTTGACATTCACCAGGGCCTACACAAAAGTTACATTCATCACTTAGCTAGAGATTTAGAACTATACTAAGATCTACACAAGAATTATATTAGTGTTGTATTAACAGCAGAATTTTAGTGTGCTTTCTTTTTTTGTATATACTATGTGTCTTGTACTGCTAGCAGCTACTAACTGCAGTGAAACAACTATCTTGTAAGCCATATTTTACATAAGTTTGGGACACTCATGCAAAATGTGTCTTTTTAGGGGTAGACTGGAGCCTGAGATAAAAAATAAGGCACCCCATGCTATGGAAGGAACTGGTGAAGAGCCATATCAGGTGCCGGCTGAAGCACAACCAGCAGTTGCTGCTTATGGGGATGTTTCAGACGACCTTTTCTCATTTGATGGCTGGGATGAGAATGTGGTGATCTCGTATGAAGAGTTTCAAATGGTGAGCTTACTAGTGTGCTGAAAGAGTGCTTCATTTATTACTTTCTTTCTATTCGCATTGCTTGGAAAAATAATTTATTTCAATTATTTTATGCAATACTCATCTCACTGCCCTCGATGTTGGGCACGGTCGTTTTCATAGAGTTCATGATTCTCTTCTTTTAATAGTGAACCTTTATGCTCTTACTTTGATGTATCAATTTTGTGTGATTGGAAAACTTCTAAAGCTCACACAGTCACAGCCACCCTTGAGTAAGTTTGATACAACTGAAACTTGCAAACAATGCTGATATGGTCTACATTAGCACATGGAGAAAATAAGTATTCTATGTTTACTTTTTTTTTTACCAAGGTCGTACTTTCTGGCCTATTAAGTTTCGTGTTTTTACAAGTGAATGCGAGGCCACTCTTCAGCTTAGGGCAAATAATAAATATTTGCTACTTTATACTCAACACAAATATTGGGTGTCAGTGATACAATCATGTTTGATGGGAATTTTGAGCCAATAAGATTTAAGAAAACAAGACATGACCCAAATCCATTAAAAGCAATGTGTTTATGTGCAGGTTTTTATTCTATGATCCTGGTTGAGACCTACGCACTCAAAAAGCCGTTACCGCAGCATGCATTAAGTGCCCGCAACATTGGTGCTGAAACAGATGTATAGCTCATTCACATTAGTGGGTGTCCTCACCAACGTTATTGAAAAGGGTGTGTCCTATAAGCTATCAACAAAATGTCATCCAATCATCACAGGGCTCACTTTGGCACTGCGATTGTGTAATTATGGTTTTTCATAGATTGCACTAGTTTGAGACAATACAAATATTTTAATAGATTTTGAGAAATTCCATAACTGTATCATCAAGCTTCTGCTTTCATAGCTGGATGCATGAAATGGTTTGTTCAAACTGTGAATGATGGGGCAGGCGATGTGCTTATGTGCTTAATGGGGTGGACATGTTTTGTTGCACAGCAGTCCAGCACATGCCAGTGTGGTTGGAAGGCTAACATGTTCACGAGGTGTTATGCATGATGTGGTATAATCATGACACATCCTCTGCAGCAGTATTGCCTTTGTGAATGTAAAGGTCTAAAGGTCTTGTGGAGCTGCTGCGATGGTTCTCTAGCCTGCAATCAAATGGACTTCCTGTGCATGCCAGTTTATACATATTTAATGTTAGCGTCCTATGTTTACAGCTCATTGATGGCTTTCATGTTGAAAATAATAAGTTTAATTTCTTCATTTGCATCCATTTTAGGAAAAAGTTTATTTTATAAAGCACAATAAAAGCTCTGCCATACTATTCAGCCTGATTTTCTGAACCTGCTGGAAATATTAGTCATTTCAAGATTATTGTTGTCTACTTATTGTTATAATGGGAGCAAAAGCACCAGTTGCAGCAACAAACGAGTGACATGAATAAACACCACTAAAGCGCCAGTTGCTGCCACAAAAGAGTGTCGGGAATAAACGCCACTGTTTGTCAGTGGTGCTGGTCATTCAATGCCGTTCTTCTACATTAAATAATCCAAGATGACTCTTCAGAGCGTTTATGCCAAAATACATTTACTGAACTTCTTAAATAAATCTTGAGTAATAAAATAATTTTTAGTATTGTCACCAAATATTGCAGTTTTTTAGCTTCCACTGCGATATTTTGCAACTGCTAAGGGTGACTGGTCTGGTCCCTCGATTTATAGATTGAAAGTGAATATGAAAGTAAACGTTCTGTCTCTCAGTTATTTTCTGAATTTTAGTGAAATATTTTGTAGGTGTTAAATCATAGTACTTCAGATAATTTTACATTTATGAAACAGCAATATCTTATTTATACTGCTAAAGTATATAAACTAGATAGAATCAAATAGCTTTCATGCAAATGTACCCCAAGTTTCTTGACTGAGTATGAACATTTCACTGGCAAATTAACTTTACTGAGATGTTTAGTATATATTTATTCACAATGTTTTTGATAACATAACTTTTATTGGATTACATGAAAGTATTCACATAATGAATTCTTAAGTTCTAAACTTATTGTGACACAGACTGACTGGAGTGTGTTCAACATACAAGTTTTAAATGGGTATAAATAATTCATTCTTGTTTTACTGCGTACAACTTTCACTCCGCACTATTGTGATTTGCGGATTTACTTTCTAACTCACCAAGTTTAGTAGGAATCTCGCTCCCCCTAAAAAGGCATATGAAATTTTGATATTTTACAGACTACATACTGTACTATAGTAATAATTGCATATTTAAAGTGAGAACACAGATATGCATATACTCTGCAAGTTTTATCATAATTGATGAATAATTTTTAAACCAATGTAAAAGGGTACTTAAAGAGGCACTGACACAAATGTTTTGCACCTTATTTTTGCACCTCTCATCATAGCTAGAAACCTCATTTCAGCGAGTACGCGATGGTTATTTATTTACAGATGTTTCTAGAGTGCTCAGTCTCAAATTCTGTTTCAAAGAGCACCGAGCTAGGCAGGAGCCGTTCTGGGGGCACGACAAGCACAGCTAACCATGTGACCACACAAAACTGTGATGTGGGTGCTGCGCATGAAAGTATGTGCAAGCAGGTGCTGCACTGACTGCTAGCACAGCCAGCACAGGCGAGGCCACTGGCACAGAGGAGGAAATTGCAGGTAGCACAAGGACAAGACACGTGCAAGCAACTAGCCAACACAAACTTGTGACGTAGGTTTGCTTACATGGCCCCTGCTTTGATTTTGGCGTCGCGAGGGGCTCTGCATCTCACTCAATCGCGTGGCGTGCAGTTTAAAATTGATTTTAAATATGTTCTAGGCTGCTATATTTGCCCTTGATATATTGTAGATGTCGTGTATGTCTCCACATAAATATATCATGCTCATTATCTCCCCTTAGAATTTTTGTCTCAGTGCTCTTTTAAGGCAAGTTAACATCGCCCTGATGCCAAGAGACTTTCACACAGGTTTGATCCTGTCATGCATCAACTCTAAGTTCAAGTTTGATCAAGAAATAAGCAGTGTCTAGATTATGCCTAAGTAAAATACAAATTGGTTATTTTTGTTTCAGTTTGAGCAAGAGAACAAGAAGCTCTATGAGGAGTTGAATGCACTCTCCGATGAAGTCAAGTGAGCCAACAGCAAAGTGTTTGTGAGCCATTTGTCTCACGTATTTTTATTTATCCTTCAGGAGCATTGAGGGAAGTGTTATGCAGATTTCACAGCTGCAAAAGGTGTTCACAGAAAAAGTGTTGGAACAGGTGAGCCATCTTTTTTTTGTGATTGGTTGAGAATACTCTTGAAAATGATTTTTTCATAAGCCACCAATGCTGCTAAAGCAGCTGTTTGTGCGATGTAGCATCTAGGGGCAACCCAGACTTGCGAGAGGAACCTGTGCTTAGCTTGCTATCAAACATGGCTCTTTATTCTTTTTTTTACGCTATTGTGACCTTGTCATCAGCAGCACTCTAGCTGATAGAAAGCTGACCTGCTAATACCAGTCACACTGAATGTTATCAGTAGAGTTCACGTCAATAACACAAGCATCAGAAATAAAATTTGATGCAACAGGGGTGTCAAGGAAAGAAAAAAACAGTGCCGCGCTTTGTAACAAGTTAAGTGTGCACTTGACTGGCGCATGTCTTTTGGCAACACTGCGTGATGGGAACAGACACTTTGGCAGCAATTTTAAGGGTGCTCTGGCAGCGGTTAGCGAAAACTGTTAAGCATATGGGGAGCAGTAGTGAAACGTACCCTTGTGGGTCACGCTATGGTTCGCTCACCACCTGAACTCAAGTTGTGTAAATCGTGCTATCAGCCATGTACTCACTCCACTACTCACATTACAGTTGCCAGGTTAGTAACTACCCATAAAAGCAGACTAAAAATTTTAAATTATGTTGTACAAAATTTTGAGAAACCAAGCTACGTAAGTTGTCAAGAAACATTAGCAATTTTTTTTCTCTTTTTTTGCTGTTCATTGTGGTTATAATTTCTTTCAAGTAGCCATCGAATAGGTGGCAGTGTTCTTTTAGTCACAAAAAGAAAACGTATAGATTTGATGGAGGAAAATTCTTAGAACGAAAAGCTTTGTAAAACTGTAGTCGTATAAGTTGAACTTATTGAAATGAACTTATTGGAAATTTTCCTTTTGTTTCTGTTTCTCTGCGACAACCTTCTTTCTCACCTTCTTGTTGGAGGCGATTTTGTTAAAGTGAGGACAGTTCCTGCAAACTTTGTGCAGGTGCTGATACTTCTTGTAAAGTTGTTTGCACCGCGTGATACACATGTTTTGCGCAGAAGCCGTGTTTTGAGGTCGCAACTATTGAGCGGTTGGTGGCGTTGTGCTTGTGAGCGGTTATCGCCACCACCATCATCATCACGAGGTCCGTTCAATTCACCTTGCACTGTGTTAACCAGTTTTTGGCAGTTCAGATAGCAGTGCAGTCAAAGCTGAACTCATGCAGCACAAGTTCAGCGAGTGCATGCGTAGCGCGACACTAGCTCCACATTGAAACGAACGCTGAAGTGCACCTTGTGCCGTGTTTCTCACTTGTTCGCTGTGTGCCTGCGTGTGTTTGAAAGCATTAGTGTGCAAGCTAGCCAATTTCATCAAAAAAAAGAAGCCATGGATTCCGTCGCAACAAGTGCAGCCATTGTGCAAAATATTATAGAACTGATAAGAGCTCGACAATACATCGTCGCAGTTGTTACACTTGTATTGTCTAGGTTGCAATGCAACAGAATGCCAAGGTACTGCGAAGAAGTCATGAGTCAGTACCTTGATTTTTTCCTCACGTGACAATAAGACGACCAATGGTCACTGCTGAAAAAGTTAACGTGCTTGGTGGATTTGTGCTACTTAGGTGGACAGCACAGTATACGTGCTCCTTGGCCGACCGCTGTCGACTGTACATAGCAGCAGATTTTCTCAACAGCAGGAGTAGGGAAGTGGTAGCGTGCAGTTAGACATGAGCAGGAATGCAGCAAAACTGGTTTACTAGCAAAAAGCGATGACATGGGGCCTAAAAACGCCTTATGATACATATGCAGCCGATATGTAGATATCAAAGCCGACGGAGTCACCAAACTCCCATTTACTACAACACAATTCACGTCTTTATTCAGTCTCAACGTTAACCATTCGAGAACGCCTCTTACGGATGCACATAATTCGTCTGCTACGATAGTTACAACAGCACCACTGCTTGTACTCGAGTTGCGCTACCTCCAAACTGAGTGCGGGGTTTTGTATGAAGTGGCCATGCACGACGCCTGCACTTTTTAAAACGAATGGCCCAGTTCAGAGAGCGCCACATTGCACTACAAAAACGAACAGTCGAGTGCGGCACTACGTGAACCAGTTCAGGCACTGCAGGTAAATCGAACGGACCTATGGCTATAAAACGTTAGCACCGGCTAGTACGCCTGGTAGGAAGCCTTGGTAGTGGCACTGATGTAATCGGGGTTCTGCCCAGAGGACCGGAGCCAGCCAGAGTCTCAGGGAGATGTTGAGGAGAAGAGCCAGGAGCTGTTAACAGTAACTTTTAATTACATTATATACAGGTAGCGTGTTATTACACGATGAGAGCAGCATCATGGAAGCTCTCAACGGAAGCATGATGGGAGCTTCTGCGAGCTTGTGAGAGCTTGTCGGGAGTGCCTCAGCGCTCGCGTTTTATGTCCTGGCCTTCCCAGGGTTCCCTGTAGGAAAAAACAATGAAGGCCAGGACAGTCCAATGAAAATTACCATCTTCACCTCCGCCTCTAAAAGGGGAAAATGTAACGGCACCTCCTTCCCAACCCACGAAAGGGGGAAGAGGCATGCCCAGTTTAGCACATGGCAAGGGAAAAAACACTGCCCACCGCGCATGACACAGCACAGCACGAAGACGTTTAGTCTTACGTGGAAGTCACTTTCGTAGTCTGTTGCAGTGATGGGTATGCGGCACCAGGCAGACCACAAATTGTGGAGACAGCAGCATCAAGGCACTACGGAGAATGAGGGAAATGCATCCGCAGACGGTTTTCAGACGCTGGGCCCTTTACCCGGGGCACCTTGACGACAAAGCAAGCCGCCTTGACGGCCAAGAACTCTTCCTGATCCGTCAGTCAGTCAGGCATGTCCGAAAGATTTTACGAGGGGTGCCGATGACTTGGGATAACTAGAAGAACGATTTCTCTGTTGTCGCCGCTCTTGGTGCATCTCTGGAAACGGTGACTTGGAAGAAATTAGGGTAGGCTCAGCCACCAGGTCTCATGCGACAAAGCGGCGTCAAGCCAGGCAGGCCGATCATAACAGCCCGTCCACCGCCACAGGAGATCTCGAAGGGGTTGCAACATGTTACGAAAGACGGCGACGCCAACACGGTCCCGAAGGTGCCACTGTTTCGAACTCCACCGGGAAGGTCACCAGTCGTTTGGTAGCGTAGGTTTCTCAGCTTGCGACTGCTTCTGCGCAGCGGTGATAGACGAGCGGACGAGACGACGGTGAGTTAACAAGGTTTATGTACAGAAAAGAAATAGAGGCATTACAAATTTGGCACTGAGGCCGACAGTTTAGAGACTCGAAGAGCCGAACTCTCTTCTCTGACACACGAGTCAACTGCTCGCGACGTGCCGCAGGGCTTTTTTTTATATGCAACGGGTGGATTCTTTGAGTAACCAAATGTCCAACCAGAAGCGCCACTGGTCGTGAGGTCAGAATCCTCTAATGGGGTCGCCGCTGGGGGGCGTCATTCTCATCAAATTCGGAGCCGCTGCACGTGGCTGCACCCAAGGACGAGTGACGCCGCCACGCATTGCGTAAGACTCGCCAGACTGGAAGGCGCCTATTGCTGCAACGGGCTCATGGCCTGAGGTGGCTTGCTGTGCGTGCGCGACAGATCGGTGTCGCCGCGTGATGACGCCGTTGAGTTGTTCGCGTCAGGCGGGCTCGCGTTCTGGCCTTGACACAGATTGCCTTTTTCAGAGGCATGGACGTTCGGTGTGGACTCTCAGGCATAACAGCACCCCCGCCGCCAGACAATGCGCCAGAAAGGCGAGCTGCTTCCACGTGGCTCGGATGTCAGGCGCGCTCGTTCGCCAAATCTCTCCAGGTTCGCCTCCAGGTCCATGGGGAGAATGCAGCTCCAGACTCCGTTCCCGGAACACATCCCATTCTTGAGGACGGATCCCAGCTCCACTGGCTTGTCGCCACAACTTGTCAGCCAGCTTCGCTCGTCTCTTTTGACGATTTTTGGTCTCAGCTATTGTCGATGGTTCTGCAACTTGTCAAGAACGGTTCGACAACAGACAACACACGACACAAGCAGGTGCCCTCGGTCACCCGACAGAACACCAGACAAAGTATAGTACAACATATACCTAGCTACGTGTCTATCGGAATTTCGTTCCCTCTACATCAAGAGGCACATGTGGGGCACAAGACTCTTGAAATGAGAACTCACATTTTTACACGTACAACAACGTAAGGAAATAGAATACAACATAAAGTTGGCTCCTTGAGCTCACTCTGGACGAGAGCGCTCAGATAAGGCCGTGATGAGGACAAAATTTTGCCCCGAATCGCCAGCAAAAAACTGAAAGGTAGAGAAGGTACTAACTAAACGCATGGCTCAATGCATCTGCATTAGCGTTTAGCTTTCCTTTTTTGTAGCGAACGTCAAAGTTGTGCTGTTGGAGTATCATGCTCCACCTCAGTAACCGGCCACTTTCAGGCGACATGTTATTTAACCAGGTTAGAGGACAGTAATTCGTTTCGACCACAAACCTCGAACCGGAGACATAACAAGCTAGCTTTTGAACGGCCCACACGAGGTAAGTCCTTTTCAGAGGTACTGTATGCCTCTTCCCTGCGGCCGAGTTTTCGACTTAAATACAAAACTGGCCTTTCGTTTCCAGCACTGTCTTCCTGGCACAATATAGCTCCCATGCCGCGATCACTCGCGTCGCATTGAATCACAAATCTTTTAGAGAAATCGGGCGCCATGAGAACGGGCTTTTCGCTTAGGGCCTGTTTTGGCTGGCAAAACGGGTTCTCCTTTTCTGAGTCCCATACTACTTTAACCGGCTCGGAGTTTCAAAGTGTGTCAGTTAGAGGGCTGGCAATGCTAGAGTAGTTTTGCATGTAATGCTGATAGTATCCAGCCATGCCCAAGAATGCCCTTATCTCTGATTTTGTGGTTGGTCGTGGATAGTTCACAACGGTAGCTACCTTAATTTCTGAAGGTCTGCGCCGGCCACGCCCCACAACGTGTCC